AAATTTTAACAGTGTACTGTTCTGATTAAAAGTAAGCTTATTATATAAAATTCATCAGATCTGTCTCAATCAATCTCATGCTCTCTGCTATACTCATTTCATCTCTGCTCTCTCAATAACTCTGATCTGATCTGAGAGTAGTTCAAATTGGCATATCTTTTCTCTACTGCTCTACTTCAACAACTCAGATCTCACATCTCTCTCAACTTTCATTTCATTTCATCTCTGCTCGATCGCTCAGTAACTTTCATCTCATCTCATCTGAGTTTGAATTCAGAAACACCGGACCTGAGATTAGTTACGTTGAAGTTGCCATATATTCAACAACGAACCAATTCACGGAATAACTCCATCTCCATCCTCATCAACCTAAGGTATGCATCTTTTATACTCTCTCCAACATCACTCTGATCTATTCCTTTTCTGCTTTCATATATATATATATATAGTTTAGCATTATGTTTTGCCCTCTTATTTCCTTTTACCTTTTGCTGCTACAGATTTATTCACTAACTAAATTTATAATACTCCGTATATGTTTATCTCATTTTCATTCATAGAGAGAGAGGGCCCGTAAGAAAATGAGAACTAATCTGGTAAAGCGTGTGTACATATGGAGAGGTAAGACCATGAGAACTAATCTGATAAAGTTATGGAACGTTATGATTAGAGCTGTAAAAGTTATGGAGCGTTATGATTAGAGCTGTAAAAATAGGCTAGCCTGACCCTTACGGGTTGGCCCATCTTGATGTATATTAGCAATTATATCGTGGACTATGGTCTACAAACTTTATAGACCATAGTCCAAAAACAACATCGTTTCGTTAAGTAAACTAAATGCCACCGCTACATATTAATGGAGCGCGGATGTTTAGTGTGTTAATTACAAAATGAAACTACAATGTATCTCAAATGAAACTGTTTCACATATTATTTTTATATTATCGAATGAAATTATAGTTATATCGAAATGAAACTATAGTTGTGTTGAAATGAAACTGCATAACAATTTCATATATTTGAGTGTATATTATCCAATCAAATTGTAGTTATATCGAAATGATATTGTAGTTATATTGTAATGAAACTGTAGTGTATATATATATATATATATATATATATATATATATATATATATATATATATATATATATATATATATATATAATGAAACTAAATAACAGTTTCACATATTTGTGTATAATGTCGAATGAAATTATAGTTATATCGAAATGAAACTGTAGTTGTGTTGAAATGAAACTACAATGTATATAAAATGAAACTGAAAATGTTGTACAAACAAATGTTACTTCATGCGGAACCGCGCAGATCAGGTGCCGTTTCTTTTCATTAAAAGAAACGTCATCATTTTAAAGTCTGGACCACAATACATTGTAGACCACGGCCCACAGTACAATTTATCCCTTGACTATTATAGCTAAAGCATATTTGGTCATTCACTATTGCTAATTAGGTGAATGAATTTCTAATTAGTATCAGATTTGGTTCTCCGATCCAATTTTCGGCTACATATTACCAGAATTCCAAACGGAAAACTAATGTGTTGTAATTAGAAAGGTATTTTAGTCATTTCAAATATATTTTATTTCCCTCTTTTACTTTTCTTTCTTCTCCCTTTCTTCTTTTCCTCACTTTCTTCCTCTCCCGTTCTTCTCCTCCTTTTCTACTGCTTACTACCCTGCTTGAGCTGGATGGCATCTCTTAATTACTTGGCACTTGTAACCAAAGACCTGAGATGGATGTGACCCAAAAGTAATCAGTTTGTTGCATTTGTTCTCTATCGACAAACACACAATTACGAAAAGGAAGAATATATTTGTATTTCATTACCAGTTAGTTCCTCTTGACACTGGTGGTTGGAGGAAGGTAGTTTCAACTCATAGGTTAAGAGTTGGAAACTGGTACCCAAGGAGAAGATCGAAAGATATTTGTATTTCATTGAATGGCAAATGAAAATATTCTAGTACGGAGTAATTATTTTCTTAAATGAAATTGTCCGTGATCTCATCACTTCTACGCATTGCTTGGTTTCAAGCTTTTAACCAGAAAAGATGGTATAATTACAGCCTTTCGATTTAACTTTTCATTTGGAAGGAGCAGAGGTTGAATCCAAATAAAATACAAAACAAAAGGCAAGCATAACTTATGTGCTGAAAAATGTAACAAACTTGGTCCTCAAAGATGCCACTAGTAGCTTAATGGATAAAATAATATTTTTACAATTTATAGAATAGGTTCAAATAGAACAATATTTCAGCCTTGAATCAAATAGAATGAAAGTTAAAAGATGAAGGATCTTCCGAACAAGAGTTTCAATTGCGTTCTGCTCTTCTTCTTCTTCTTCTTCTTCTTCTTCTTCTTCTTCTTCTTCTTCTTCTCTACCCTCCTCAGCATCTCCCTTTGCGTCACCATGTCTGTCCAGATCTCGCTCACCGAACCCCGCTTCTTCCTCCGACACGCCACACTCTACAACTTCAACCTCACGCCGGCGCCGCCAACCTCCTCACCACCAACATCTCAGTCGCCCTCGCCGCCAACATCCCCTACAGACACCGCGGCATCTACTACGACCACCTCAACCTCTATGCTGCCGTATACCGGAACCAGACAGTCACCCTCCCTGCGTCCTACCAAGCCTACAAAGACATGGTCGTTTGGTTGTCTTGTTAGGGTTCACACCATAAATAGAAGAAATGGAGAGGAAGAAGGGAAGAAAGTGAGAAGAAGAAGAAGAGAAGAAGAAGAAGAAGAAAAATAAAAGAGAAAAATAAAATATATTTGAAAGTACCAAAATACCCTTCTAATTACAAGACATTAATTTTTCGGTTGGAATTCCGGTAATATGTGGTCGGAAAATTGGACCGAAGAACCAAATCTGATACTAATTAGAAAGTCATGGACCTAATTTGATAAAAAAGCAAAAGGATCAAATATGCTTCAGCTATGATAGTCAAGGAACCAAAAATGATTTTTTTTTTCTCTCTCTCTCTCTCTAAAGATTGGACATTAGGTCCGACCGCCGAGTGACCTTGATTGGTAACACCAATGGCAAGGTGACTTCCGACGGCAAAGGTGCCAAGGAGACTTCTCGTGTGCTTTGGGTGGGAACCGACATTCGTGAATTAAACGGAGGCACTGCTTGCTTGCTAAGGTGTTCTTGCGGATCCAGGGAACGTTGACTTTGTGACTCGGTCATTTCGGTATATCTCAGAGTTTAATTGAGTAAAGGGAAACTATAAAACAATTAGAAATTATGAATGCATGTTTTTCATAGTGTTACCCACGAACGGCGAACAGAAGGGTTAGGAAAATAGTAGTATTATTACTAGGAACGTTAGACTCAAAAGAATACGTACAAAGTCTGAGACATGCCACCAGCCCAAAACGACGACCCAAATAATAATAAACAATACAAGTTATAGCTAATCAAATAGAAATAATAATGTTACCACTAAAAATCGAATCCTAGTATGCTGGTGGGAAAGAGAAGACTCAGATCACTCAGCCAGAAAGGTCTCTACATTCTCAAGATGTGTCCTAACCAAACCATTCCCCATCCTTTTATATTGTTACTTGCCTCACCCCACTGTCTATGTATACGCCATCCAAGATAGGCTAGCCTCCGCCAAGTCGCCAACCACGTGTCCCATGTCTACCTGCCTCCCTGCTTACCTCCATACCGTCGTCCATCAGCAGGGAGCCACGCCACACGACCACCGGCTAGGGTGCCACGCCAAAGGTGTGGGGTGCCAAACTCACCGGTGGCCCGATGGGGCATTGTGGGGCGCTCCGAGCCCCTACCGGGCTACCGACCGCCGGCGGCGCCCTCCCCACTTACATGTGCACCACCCTTCATGACCACCACTCACGTGTTTATGCTATCCCTCCGCTTGCATCAACACGTCTTCACCACCCTTGCCATGCGCATATACACCTTCAATATTGCACCCACTTTCCGACAGGTCGCCGCTGCCTCACCTCTCGGCCCACTAGGCCCGCTGGGGGCACTATGGATGGAGGTTGCCGACGAGCCACGCCCCTGGCCAATCACCGACCGGTGGTGGCTGGTTTGTAAAGTTGCCAGCCTGCAAAATAACGAATAAATACAAGTAAAACTTTGGTAAACAAGAGATGAAGTGCACTTGATATAATATTCTACTCGGTAATCTTAGTATGTGCATGCCTCCTCACTTGGCCTGCCAGTAGGGAGCCACCGGTTTGGCATGACCCACCATGCACACTGGGATTTCGTCGGGCTACCCCGTCGGATACTGGCGGTTTTGCCTCCTTCCTTCACCACCCCGGGTGAAGACGTTTTCAAAAAAATGTCATCTATCTTCATATATATATATATATATATATATATATATATATATATATAGGTTCAAATGTGGTTGGTGTGTCGTGCGGTTAAATCTGAACTATTGATTTTGCCTAATCAACGTCCAAGATCACCAAAATTAAAAAAAAAAAAAAAAAAAACGTGGTAGTAATTTGGTAGTTTTTGCATCGAGGTCAAATTTAAGGTGCGTGGGGCGTGGCTTTTGTGTTTAAGGTGCGTGGGTTTTGTGCTTAAACTGCGTGTGTTCTGTGCTTAATGCGAGTATTTGTTGAAACTTAAAGTGCATGATTTTCCTTCTTAAGGTGTGTGGTTTTTGTGCTTAAGGTGCATATGTTTTGTGTGCTTAATGTGAGTAGTTGATGAAACTTAAGGTGCGTGATTTTCTTTCTTAAGGTGCGTTATTTTTCTTTTTAAGGTATACGTGATTTGTATGCTTAAGGTGCATCAGTTGTGTGAAACTTAAGGAGAGCCATTTTAAAACCTTATGTGCCTGGTTTGTGTTCTTAAGGTGCTTTGTTGTGTGCTTAAGGTGCGTGGTTTGTGTTATAAGCATTCCATTTAATTTCTTGGTCAGTAAAGTACGTAACTGAGACTAATAACTCTGATATGTGTTCCAGAAACACTTTAGAGAAGTTCAATGGATCTTGGTGCTGTAACCACAGTAATCAAAAGAGTAGAGGCTATAGAGCAAAACCTTATGGAGCCCAAAATAGTAGAGGCTGTTGGAGGATTAATGATGGTGCCACTGCATGAAACGATTGAGTTGCTGTCTTACAAGCTCCATTTTCTGCAAGTCTTTTTGGTGGAATGTAAGGCAAAATTGAATGACGAGGACACCATGGCTCGGGGACTGTATATGTATGTGGAAGATGAAGTTTTTAGAATATATTTAGAGAACGAAATAAAAGATATACCGGGACTATTCTATTCGGCAGATTATTGGGAAGGGAACGCTGCAATTAAGTCTTGTGAAGATATTCATCAACGCTTGAAAAGAATGGTAAGAGATATTGAGGTAGTTAAAGATGGGATCCTGGACAAAAAAAGAAGAGCTGCTTTAGAGACTGGGGAACAGAACATCACAATTTGTGATACCTACCAAAATGCTTTAAAGACGGAGAATGAAGTGATTGTAGGAATCGATAGTGATATAGAGAAGATAGTTAACCAGCTCTGTTATTCATACTTCATGGGATCGGTGTGCACCATTTTGAAGAATAGTAACATTGAGAGGTTTCAGAAATATGTGCTGAAACTACAAGTTATGCCACTCGTTGGGGAAGGAGGCATTGGAAAAACTACATTAGCCAAAAGAGTCTATGCACATCCAATTACCATTGCTACCTTTCAAATTCGAGCATGGGTAGTTGTGTCTGAAGTTCATAACCTCAAAGAGATGCTCATTGGTCTATTAAGTTGTATTTCACCAATCACTAGTGAAATCTACAACATAGATGAGGCTCAGATAGCTGAGAAATTAAACACAAGTTTGTTGGGCTGGAAGTATTTAATTTTCTTGGATGATATATGGACCACTGCTGCATGGGATGCCATCCAAGGATATCTTCCAGAGAATTTTAATGGAAGCCGAATCTTAGTAACTACTCGATTCAAAGAGGTGTCCGAATACTTGAGTACGAATCCCTACCAAGTGAATTATCTATCTTTTTCGGATCTTCAGGAATTATTTTCAAGGGAAATGTTTAGGAAAAACATATTTCTTCCTTATGGATTTAACCCAAGTGAGATAGACATTGTAGATTGTTTTTGTGGATTACCCCTAGAAGTTGTTTTAATTTCCGGACTTTTGGCGACAGCAAAAGAGTCTCTAGAAATATGGAGAGATGTTTACCAAACTTTGGATAGATTTTATATATTTGGTACTCACAAAAGAATTTCAAAAATAGTTTCATTAAGCTACAAGTACTTACCTTGTGATTTGAAGGATTGCTTTCGTTATTTTGGTGTGTTTCCAGAAGACAATGACATACCTGTTAAGAAATTAATCAACTTATGGGTTGCAGAGGGATTTATAAAGCCACATGACAATATGAGTTTGGAAGAAGTGGGAGAGAGTTACTTGCATGATCTCATTAATAGAAGTCTTGTTCAAAGTAATGAGCTAAGTATTGACGGCAAAGTTAAATCATGTAGCATTCATGATCAAGTGCACAAGGTTTGTGTGAGAGAAGCAATAGAGTGGAATGATTTGTGCATTATCAATGACAATCATGCTCCAAACGCTTGTTGTTGGTTAAGCTGTCAAACAAGTCATTGGCCAATCACTCGAGCGAGTTACGAGAATTGCGGTCCTGATGAAATCCATTCTGTTCTCTGCTTTGGTAAAGATGTAAACCATTCAAAATGCAGGTTTGTATACCCATCTTTGAAATTGCTAAGAGTATTGGATTTATCATTAGTTAAATGGTCAAGAGGCATGCCTAGAGAAATAACAGACTTGGTTCATTTGAGATACTTGGCTTTAAGTACCATTGGTTCTCTTTACCAGTTTCGATTTTTCAAGCTTAAGAATTTGGTAACTCTCATAGTTACTTCATGGATGGAAAAATGTCCTTTGCAACTGCCATGTGATATTTTGGATTTGCCACAATTGAGGCATTTGCATGTTGACAAGAGATGTTCACAATATCTCCGTAGCTTAGTAAAAAAAAAACTACAAACTCTTTATTGGTTGAAGGTTGCTAACTCTGATCAAAGCCCAAACTTCGAAATGGTTCCAAACCTAAGGGAACTTGGGATTTACATTGAAGGCCAACTGGCGCCTAGATATCTAGGGAGCCTTGTGCATTTACATCTACTTGAGAAGTTGAAGTTTGAAGTAGGAAGAGTTGAGCGCTTTTATCTACCAATTGGTTTTCCGCCAAACCTAAAGAAGTTGACACTTCGTTATACTTATCTTCCATGGAAAGAGATGGACACAATTGGCAAGTTGCCACACCTTGAGGTGCTTAAACTAAAAGATTTCGCATTCTATGGCTCAAAGTGGGAACCATCAAAGCAGGGCTTTTTGGAATTAAAGGCACTTCTCATTTCACGTTCAAATCTCAAATATTGGAATGCAAATTCTAATCATTTCCCAGTTTTGGAGCGCTTGGTCTTAAGATATTGTTGGGAATTGAAACAAGTTCCAATTAATTTTGCAAATATTGGAACACTGAAGTTAATTGTGTTAGAAAGTTGTTATTCTTCTCTTGTGAGTTCTGCAATGCAGATTTCCTCTGCAAAGAAGTTATTGTTTGAGGGAACGACAAATTGTCCACTTCGTGTTCGTGAAGTTAGAACTAAGGTTTCTCTCTAATTCTTGTTCATTATTTCAAACTATTAGTTTACTGCCTTCTAATTCCATGTATTAATTTATTTGTTTATTTTTGTTCTCATTTTCAATTACTTTTCAAGGTTGAATTGCCAAATAATGAAAGCTCTGAAGAAGAAAGTGTGTATAGATCTGAAGAAGAAAGTATGAAAAACTCTAAAGAAAGTGTGGAAAGCTCTGAAGAATATAGAGTGGAAAGCGCTGAAGAAAAAAGTGTGGAAAACTTTGAAGAAGAAAGTGTGAAAAGCTCTAAAGAAAGTGTGTATAGATTTGAAGAAGAAAGTGTGAAAAACTCTAAAGAAAGTGTGGAAAGCTCTGAAGAAGAAAGTGTGGAAAGCTTTGAAGAAGAAAGTGTGAAAAGCTTTAAAGAAGAAAGCGTGGGAAGCTCTAAAGAATTAAGTTTTGGAAGGTCTAAAGAATTAAGCGTTGGAAGCTCTAATCATGTAAGGTTGAAAGCTCGGAAGAGTGTGAGGAAATATCTTAAGAAGAAGTTTTCGAAATCTCTGAATGCATTCAAAGAATTGAAGAGGAAAGTGTTGTAAGCTCTGAAGAAAGTGACTGAGGAATTTTTAAATTTTGGGCTTATTATAAACTTATAAAGCCAAGGTATGAAACTTGTGGTTAAACTCCATATTATTTTGTAGTTTTATTGAAAGAGTTCATTCCATCTTTAACTCATCAACTATTTCATTTGTACTTCCAATCATCGACTTCAAAATCAATCAAAATTTGGTACCAGAGTTTTTACAACTTGCCACATTAGTCCTATAGTCAGGCACTAAATTTTGTTCTTGTTGGGCTAAAAGTGGCAAGTTTTCAAAGTCGTTAGGTATTAAATGTAATCGATTTTTGAGGTTGATAACCACAAAAGTGGAAAATCCAATAGTCGACTTGTTGAGGGACTAAAACGGGAATCCAATAGTTGATATATGCATCATTTATTGTAATTTGGCCAAAGAGAATTAAGGAGGTTTTCTGATGTGTTGCAATTGAATTTGAACTTCACTTTATCTTTCAGCTTGTCGGTTCCTGGCTGAAGTTAATAAGATCATCATTGCTGAATCAGTTGTTTGTTGCTTTTCATGAGTTGATGCACTGGCTAATGTTGATGAAGTTGATAAGCATACCCCAAGTGTTGAAGAAAACTGTGAAGGAAGTGTTGAAAGCTTTGAAGAAGAAAGTGATGAAAGCTCTGAGAAGAAAGTGACTGAGGAATTGAAGAAGCCAATGTATGTATACCTCTGGAATATCTACATCAAATCAAATCAAATGCCTTAATAACCAATTACATTCTAGTTTTATTAAACTTAATAATTTTTCTTTCATTAGTAAGGAAAGTGCAAAGACATGGCTCTGGAGTCTGGACTTGAAGGAAAACTTTTTTCGTTGAGCCTCGGGTAACCAGTAGCCAGATTGTGCTCCGGCTAATACGGAGTTTAGCCGATGCCTGTTGTTTCATTCACATGGTTTGCAATTTCTCCTATCATATAAGCTATTGTTGATAGTACTCAATTGTTAGGATTGAAATTAAATTACTTCTTATTTCACGTTCAGATCGAAAACATTGGAATGCAAGAGCTGATAAAATGCTGAGCACAAGACATATTGTCGGGATGGTGAGATGAACAAAAGGAATGACTATACAGGAGTGGTCGCACCGATGAAACCTTGTCGGAGTTACATCAGTTTATGTTGGTGAATAATCTCGTTTGCTTTTGCATATGATTTAAGTTTCTCTACTTTCAGTTGTTTCAGAATTTGGAATTTTATCAAATGGAAGTGAACAACTAACTAACTTGTTCTGTTCCGTTTTTTTATGCTAAAACATCCTGCAGTTATAAAAGGTTGTAAGGATACTATGTCGCAGAAGTAGTATCCTTTGGGTGGAAAGTATTCTGCTTTTAGTTCAGATACCTGTGTAACAACCATAAAAAGGTACACCTATGTTGTTACCCCGCCATAAATTTTGCAGATCAAGATTTGGAATGAGGATGAAGTCCTTAGATACACCCTTGAAGGGGTAGGTGTTTTCGAGAGTTGAACAAAACAGGTGCTGAGCAATGGCAGATCTTATTGCCTTCGGCAGGTCTTCCAGCACTTCTTGCTGCAACTCTGCTGTCTTAAATTTCATTGTCATATGAGCCAGCATTTGTTCCTTCAGCCCTTCTGGAAGTCGATTCTTGCTCGCGTATCGCAGTATATTGTTGATGGCATCTCTCTGCACAAAAACATCCAACTATTAGAGCAAGATCCCACCATCATGTCCCCACGGGTAGCTCAGTTGATTCCTGGGTGACAGATTGTGGGCAAGAACATAGGATTGAACCTTGACAGTTGCATGTGGGGGAGTTTCACCCTCTTGTAGGGTGGCTCCGTGTGGACACCAGGTATTGGTCCTTCCACCTAATGGATTGCTGAGTCATGGTTGCTGAATCACCATGATTTCCACCTCCACGATCCTGCGCCGGGGTGTGGGGACCCATGGGGCGGGCAAGACTCCACCCACCATCATGCAGGTCGCTAAATCACCGCACAGGTAGCTCAGTTGGTTCTTAGGTGGCAGATTGTGGACAAGGATGCAGGATTGAGCCTTGATAGCTGCAAGTGTGGAAGTGGCTCCTTGTGGATAACAAACACTGGTCCTCCCACCTATGGAGCGCTAAGTCACTGCAATTTACACCTTCGCAATCCTTTGTCAGGATGCAGGAATGGTCTAGTAACATGTTTGCAACCATAATTTATGTGAAGAAAAAGGATAAGTACCATGGCAAAAGTTCTCACTGCACTGTGGACAATGAGATTGGTCATATTTCCAATCAAGTAAGCTATGAGGCCAATGTTGAAGAGCATATAGAAAATGGTGAAGACATTCTCTACAGTATTACGGGCACACAGATCTCCATAGCCTACTGTAGTGAGAGTGACAAGGGACCAATACACAGAGTAAGTGTAACCAAACCACACACTTCTATCTTTGAAATCTTCAACCTTAAATCCAATCCATGTATCGTATGAATCATGATAGTGTGTTGCAAGCCAGAAGTAGAAGCAGCCAGCAGAGTGGACTGCAAATAAAGTCACCTGAGACAAGAACTTTCACCGTCAAATTTAAACTTTTAGTCAAGACAAAACACATTTTTAATGTATTGTACATACGCATATTAGCTTGAAGGTTCTTGTCCAGAAGTAGTTGAAGCGAGTGTCTTTCTCTAGTCGGGAGAAGAATACACTGACTTGACGGAGCCGCCATAGTCGAAGCAGGTTAAGAAAGCCGAACACCTGACCATGGTGCACTTTGCCGGTGATTAGGCCATATATGGTTTGGAAGGGTATAGTTGAAGCTATATCCATCGGGAAACCTAAATGTGTAACATACCTTCAAGCAACATGAAATATGGCTTTCATGATCATATATATATAAAAGTGTGCAAGTTATATTATGCATGACATGTTAATTAGATTCACGTATATGTTGTGCTAAATAAGTCCATTTACTTAGACTAATCAGATGGATTTTTTTTTTTTTTAAATGATCTTTTCGACTCTTTCGAGAATCTGAACAATTTTTTTTTTTTTTCGTTATTTTTATCACTTATCGAAAGTGGTCAATAAAATCAGCTACCAACGAATAAGTAGATTACCTCAAAGCAATTTTGTTGTGATCATCCACAAGCAAATAAGTGGATTTGTCCAAGTAATTAAGCTACAAGGAAAGTGAGGATAATATCAACACCAAAGAAAGCATCCACCACTAAGTCAACGGGCTGAAATGACCCCGCTGCCACCTTTCTAAATGCGGAGCTCGAATGGGGATGACCATGCAAAGTACACCACTAAAATTACAAGAAATAATACTTGCCACACCCTACAATATAATATAATAATAATAATAGTTCTAAAATTAGATAAATGTGTATAAATAGATTATGGAATTAACAATCCAATTCAGATTAGATTGATTCGTTCTATACTTTTCGATTGATTTTTGAATTGACGGGTTTAATCAACTTAAAATTAAATTTGGAACTTTGTGATTACCCGATCTAGCACAATCAATGCGAATGGGGTTGCCTCCATTCACATACATCCCTAGTTGAATGTTTATTACCCTCGCAAAACGGACATCCAACGTGTGATGTTCTCCACTATTAAAGGTGCATTGGGAAGAACTATTAGATTAGTTAAAGCGGTTTACTATTTCAACCAGTTCCCATAATTAAGGTCATTTAATTTAGATGAATAATTTTAATTTCTTTACAATTAGTATCTGTCTATAATTTTGTAACCACTCATTAGTAATAAAAGTGTCATCACACTACATAGTAGTTAACATAAATAAATTATTTAATTAATTAGAAAAGTAAAAGTCTAATAATATTGACCCAACTACTATATATATATATATATATATATATATATATATATATATATATATATTACAGATATTTCGGCATGAATTTTTCTGAAAAAATTTCACATTTAAAATATTACCAAAAATTTTATAAAACTAGAGCATTAGAATCTAAAAAATGGTTAGACACTGAAGGGAAAAATTATGATCCAAATTCCCTTTTTTATAAAACTAAATGTATATAATTTAAATTTTTGGAAAAAAATAAATTTGAAAGGACCAAACTAACCTTCTAATTATAACATTTTTTTTTCGTTTGGAATTCCGGTAATATGTGACCGAAAAATTAGACCGGAGGACCAAAAGTGATACTAGTTAAAAAATCATGCACCTAATTTAAAAAAAAAGAAATAGTCAAGTACCAAAAGTGCTTCAATTATAATAGTCAAGGGACCAAAAGTGATATTTACTCTAATCTTAGTCTTAATAATAATTAAAACATAAGTAATGATTCCCATTAATAATACTAATTAAAAGAAGAGGTAAATTTCATCAATAATTCAGATCTTATCCCATCTCTCATCATTGTGCATGCTAGCCTGCTATACTCATTTCATTTCTTCATCAATAAATGCTCAAGAAAAAATGCAATTGTTTTGGGTATTTATTTATGGATCCTGTATTTATTAGGGTCAAATTGTGGTTCTAGGAGATTCATAGATTCAAGGACTCTTTATTCACGGGTTGATTTCCTTACCTTTGTGTTAAATTATTCCTGCTGATTGTTAATCTTTTGTTTTTTTAATTGTTTAAGGGAAAATTGTAATTTATACCCTTCCATAATATGCCAATTATCAATGTCACTCCTAAATTATTAGTGGCGTAAATGTTGCCCCTCAATTTTTAAAACGGTACATATATTGCCCCTCCCGTACCGTACGGGAGGGGCAATATATACCGTTTTGAAAAATGAGGGGCAACGTTTACACTACGGGAGTGCACTATATGTACCGTTTTTGAAAATTGAGGGGCAATATTTACACCACTAATAATTCAAAGTAATATTGATAATTTGCATATTATGTAGGAGCATAAATTACAATTTTCCTATTGTTTAATTAATTCCTCATCATACATTTAATCTATATAATACCAGCATTTGTAGTCATTATGGGATACAAACACTACTTGCTTCATTATATTTGTATAGTTGAAATCGGGTATCGAGAATCTAATTTAACACAAAATGCATAGAGAGTATGTCAAGAAAAATGGTAAACAAATATCTAACTAATTAGTTCGTGACTTAAAAATCATGATTGGAATTTGGAAGTGGCATAGTGTAAGTTTGAATTCTATTAAAAATATGTAGGAAAAAAACAAAATGCCCAAGAACATGCGCACATGACTGATTGTGCGACTCACATGATTCCTATTAGTCTGTACTCCACTACTCTTAATAATAATTAAAAAAAAAAAGTATTGTCTGTCGGAACAATAATTAAAACAAAAGTACATTAATGATTCCCATTAGTTTGTACTCCACTATCTTAAGAATAATTAAAAGATGCCCGCATGGACAGCTCAACTGGTTATAGAGGTGAAGTTGGGGAAGAATAACCATGGATCGAGTTTCATCAGCAGCAGTGTGGGAGCAACCTCTCAAAGTGAGGGGCTCAGTTGAGCTACCATGATTTACATCCTCCCATATGCCCTATCAGGCCCTGTACATTAATGATTTACATCCTCCCATATGCCCTATCAGGCCCTTAGGGTTGAATCAAGAATAATTAAAAGAAATGTACATTAATGATTTCCATTATTGCATTAGTCTTAATGATAGTAACAATATATAATTAAATGAAAAGTTAACCAATTATTATGTTATGTGATGACACTTATATTGCTATTGTTATTATTCTAAATAAATGGATGATCATAGAGCAAATACTACTTTGGACTGAGAATTTATATAGAGCATATACTTTTTTTTTTTTTTAATTAAGAGTGTTGGCGATTCTTCCAAATGGAAGATTATAGATTCTGGATTTATTTCCCAGTAAGATAATATTGAACATGTGTTTCAGTAGATTGAGAAAGTAATTATTAGCTTAAATCACATCAATAATTCAGAGTTTCAGACCTTACCCCATATATCATCATTGCAGCTATACTCGTCTCGTTTCTTGCTCAGTAAATGCTCAGATCTGAGTTTCAGAAACAACACTTGAGAATAGTTGAATCAGAAACACTTCATAACTCATCAGACCTTCAGTCTCTCATCTGATCTCGACCTTAGCTTCTTCAAGGTATGTTTCATACTTTCACCTGCTTCACTTGAAGAATTCCTTTTTTACTTTGTCTTTGATACACTTTAGCATAACTCACTCACCATTACATTTTCCCTCTCAACTCCTTTGCTTTTTAATTCGCTGCATGTTTTTTTTTTTTTTTTTTTTTTTTATGAAGATTAATTCGCTACATGTTTATTCACTAATAATTTTATACTAGATATTTTAATTGTGTTCACTATACATGAAAATATTCATGAAGGCTTATATATATTAGCCCATCAGCATACAAATAATTGAAAAACTGGTAATGGTAACAAACTTTGCATTTTATGTTGAATCACATGAAGTTTAGAAACTAGCTAGCTATCTAGAAGATGCAATGATTTTGCTGAGGATACTATATATAATTCAGCAGATTAGATTTGAGTTAATACCCAATTTAGTCTTTGACTATAATGGTTTTTCTCGATTATATTTAGTCCTAAATGACATTTTGTGCTTAATAAGGTCATCAGCTTTGATGGTCTTACCCAATTGAGTCTTTGGCTATTAGAATTAATCAAGGACTAAAAAAATAAAAAAAAAATCTATAGTCGAAGACTAAATTGGTTAAAACAACTATAGTCCAAGACTAAATTGGGTATTAATAGAGGTAAAATTACCAAGTTATCTTAACAGAGGATTCAATTAAGCAAAATCATCAAAGTCGAAGACCTAATTAAGCACAAAAATAAAAAGTCATTTAGAACTAAATCGAGAAAAATTATATTACTATACTCAAGTACTAAATTGGGTATTAACCCATCTTGCATGCATCATGCATGCACCATCTCTGTTATAATCATTCCATTTCTTGTTCAATAATTGAGAGTAATAAGCCTGATATGAGTTCTGGCCGCCAGAAACACTTTAGAGAGGTTCAAGTTCAATGGATTTTGATGCTGTAACCACTCTAATCAAAATAGTAGATCAAGACCTTATGGAGCCCAAACTACTTTCGTGTTTTGATGCTTCACTGCTTGAAACAATCAAGTTGTTGTCTGCCAAGCTCTACTTTGTGCAAGACTTTTTGGAGGAATGTAAGACGAAAATGAATCACGGGGACACCTTCGCTAACGTGCTGTATTTTGTAATCCAAGATAAAGTTGCTACAACATATGAAAATTACAGAAGAGAATTACTGAGAATGGTATATTTTGAAGATAACTGGGGAGAGTCTGCATTTGTGGCGTCTGAACTTCATTTGACCTTAAAACAAGTGGTAAGAGATATTGAAGGAGCTGGAGAATGGATCCCGTTGTTAAAAAAAATAGCTACTTTAGTGCCTAAGAAAGAGAATATCACAGATTGCGATACCTACCAAAATGCTTTAGAGGCTGAGAATGAAATGATTGTAGGATTCGACAGTGATATAGAGACAATAATAAATCGGCTCACTTTTTTATACTCGAAGAGATACATTGAAACCATTTTGAGGAGAAGTGACATTGACAAGTTACGGGGATGTGTTGAAAATCCATTGGTGAAACTAGAAGTTATCCCACTGGTTGGGGAAGGAGGCATTGGAAAAACTACATTAGCCAGAAGAGTATATGGACATCCAATTACTATTGATAGCTTTCACATTCGAGCATGGGTAGTTGTGTCTCAGGTTCATAATCTCAAAGAGATACTCATTGGTCTATTACGTTGTATTTCACCAATAACTAGTGAAATCTACAACATAGATGAAGCTCATATAGCAGAGCAATTACGCAGAAGTTTGATGGGCCAGAAGTATTTAATTTTCTTAGATGACATATGGACCACTGCTGCATGGGATGCCATCCATGATTGTTTTCCAGAGAATTCTAATGGAAGCCGAATCTTAGTAACTACTCGGTTTGCAGAGGTGGCTGAATACTTAAGTGCAGATCCCTACCATATGACGTATCGAACTTTAAAGGATCGTTGGGAGTTATTTTCGATGAAAGTGTTTGGGAAAAGTCAATGCATTCCCAGGGAATATGAGTTAATTGGGAAACGCATTGTTCTTGGTTGCAGTGGATTACCACTAGCAGTTGTTGTGATTGCTGGACTTTTGGCAACAGTAAAAGAGTCTCTAGAAATATGGAGAGATGTTGAGGAAACTTTGGATGGAGTTGATAATAACAACAGAATTTCAACAATACTTTCATTGAGCTACAACTACTTACCTAGTCACTTGAAAGCTTGCTTTCATTATTTTGGTGTGTTTCCTGAAGACAATGTCATTCCTGTTAAGAAATTAATCAACTTATGGGTTGCAGAGGGATTTTTAATACAAGATAAAAATATGAGTTTGGAAGAAGTGGCAGAGAGTTACTTGGATGATTTCATCAATAGAAGTCTAGTTCAAATTAATGAGTTGAGTATTGACAGCAAAGTTAAATCATGTAAGGTTCATGATCGAGTGCATGAGGTTTGTGTGAGAGAAGCAATAAAGGGGAATACTTTGTGCATTATCAATGACAATCATGCTCCAAAAGCTAGTCGTTGGTTAAGCTGTCAAACAAGTTATTGGCCAATCACACGAGCGAGTTATGGGAATTGCACTCCTGGTAAAATCCATTCCATTCTCTGCTTTAGTAAAGATGTATACCATTCAAAAAGCAGGTTGGTATACCCATGTTTGAAATCCCTAAGAGTATTGGATTTATCATTAGTTAAATGGTCACAAGGCATGCCTCATGAAATAACAGACTTGGTTCATTTGAGATACTTGGCTTTATGTACCATTGGTTCTCTTTACGAGTTTCAATTTTTCAAGCTTAAGAAATTGGTAACTCTCATAGTTACTTCATGGATGGAAAAATGTCCTTTGCAACTGCCATGTGATATTTTGGATTTGCCACAGTTGAGGCATTTGCATGTTGATAAGAGATGTTCACAGTATCTCCCTTGCTTGGTCAAAAAAGATCTTCAAACTCTTTATTGGTTGAAAGTTGCTAGCTCTAATGAAAAACCAAACTTCGAAATGGTTCCAAATCTAAGGGAACTTGGGATATTCATTGAAGGCCAACTGGCGCCTAGCTATCTAGGGAGCCTTGTGTATTTACATATACTTGAGAAGTTGAAATTTGAAGTAGGAAGAGTTGAGCGCTTTTATCTACCAATAGGTTTTCCACCAAACCTTAAGAAGTTGACACTTCGGTATACTTATCTTCCGTGGAAGGAGATGGACACAATTGGCAAGTTGCCGCACCTTGAGGTGCTTAAACTAAAAGATTTCGCATGTTGTGGTTCAAAGTGGGAACCATCAAAGAAGGGATTTCGGGAATTAAAGACACTTCTTATTTCACATTCAGATCTCAAACACTGGAAAGCAAGTTCTATTAATTTCCCAGTTTTGGAGTGCCTAGTCTTAAGATGTTGTTGGGAATTGACACAAGTTCCACAGAAGTTTTCAAAAATTGGAACACTAAAGTTAATTGTGTTAGAAGGTTGCTATTATTCTCTTGTGAGTTCTGCAAAGAACATTTCTGTTGAAAAGATGTTTTGGTTTATGGGAAGAGAGGCGGTTTGTAAACTTCATGTTCATGAAGTAGGAATTAAGGTTTCTCTCTAATTCTTGTTCTTTATTTCAAAATATTGGGTTTCTGCCTTCTAATTCCTTGTATTAATTTAATTATTTTTTTATTTTTTTTTACTCATTTTCTATTACTTTTCAAGGTTGAATTGCCTATTATTGAAAGCTTTGAAGAAGAAAGTGTGAAAAGCTCTGAAGAAGAAAGTGTTGAAAGCTCTATAGAAAAAAGTGTCGAAACCTCTAAAGAAGAAATGTTGAAAGCTGATAAGAGTGTGATGAAATATCTGAAGAAGTTATTCTGGTGTATGCATTGAAGAAAAAAGTGCAGTGACTGAGGAAAGGTTATTCTGATGTGTTAAGTTGCAATTGAATTTGAACATCACTTTATGTTTCAGCTTGTAAGTTCATGGCTTAAGTTTATTGTTGAATAAGTTCTATGGTCTGTTGATGCACGGGCTAATGTTGATGATGTTTATAAATTTAGCCACTTGTCCAGTCCAATCTATATCTTTGGTTGGGAGAAAACAAACCGGAAGTATTTTTGGTTTCCATTTGATCTGAACAATTTCAGCTGTGTGTGTGTTACGATTTTTTTTTTTTTTTTTTTTTTTTTTTTTTTTTTTTTTTTTTGTGCTCCATTGGCTAAGTTGAAACAGTCCACTGTTCAATGCACCATTGAAATGCTTTTTGGTGCCAATGGAACCTGCATTCATTTTGGACCCTGAGTGACTGAACCAAACTTTTTATTTGCAAATTAATTAATCAAACTGAAGTTTTTTCTGATTAATCGAAGTTTTTTTTAGCTACATTTTTAAATACATAAAATTATAATTACAAATTAACATTACCAATTAAATGAACTGAATTGTTTTTATTAACTAAAATTCTTTTACCAGGTTACCATGATGACATGGCATGGGTTATTAGCTGATGTAGACATTCCCCCAAATTTTTAAGTAAACCCCCAAAATCAGACTCCTCACGCAGCCCTCTCTAGACCAAATCACCACAGAGCCTCCACAATCCAATGCGAGAGCACCGAGCCCGCCGACCATCTGCCCTACTTTGATTTTGGAGTAAGAGATTTTGATATGGAGAAACTTCAACTGTCTAAGCATTTCCGGTTTCCTTGGCCAGTGAATGTAACACTACTACAAAAATACATTACAACGTCTCCATTTTAACGTCGGTTTTTTTATAAAGCCGACGTTAAAATATTTTTATAATTGTTTTATTTTTTAAAAAAATATATATAACATCGGTTGGATCAAACAACCGACATTATATGTATTTTTTTTTTTTAAAAAAAAAGAAATTAAAATCAGATACGGTGTCGGCTAACGAAAGAGCTGACGTCGTAAAGGATTTTAATTTTTTTTATTTTATTTAAATAAGTTACGACGTCGGTTATAGGTCAAACCGACGTCGTAACTTCAATAAAAAAAATTAAAAAATATATATTAGATATACGACGTCGGCTAAGTGTATAGCTGACGTCGTAGTGTTTAAAACAATCGGGCTAAAACCCTACCGAGACCAAAAAGTGTAACAACGAACCTTTCTTCTTCACCATACATACCAGTCGTCGCCTCCTCCACACCAATCGTCGCCCCTCGACTTCGACGTCGCCACCGTCGTCGTCCTTTCGTCGTTGAACGCCAGCCGCCGTCGCCCCTTCGTCGTCGAACGCTAGCCGCTGCATCGCTGGATGTCGCCTCGTCGCACGTCGGCACGCCGCTGCTGCACACTGGACGGATGCTCACCGCCGCTGCTGCTCGCTAGATGGACGCTCGCCGTCGCCGCTGCCGCTGCTCGATGGACGGACGCTCGCCGCCACCGCTGCTCGCTGAACGGAGCTGGTAAGTTTTAATTGTTTTTTTTTTTAATTAGTTTTTTTTTTTTTTTTTTTTGAGAAACAAGAGCTAATTCATTAAGTCATAATCAAGACAATCAACAAGGAAATGCGGGGATGTGTCGAACCACTCCCCACGGTCTGTCTCAGAAAAGGCCCCCCGCGCAACAGTGTCGGTGGCACAATTCGCAGACCGTCTAGCATAAACGAATTCAACACCGCCAATCGCGGTTGCTAACTCCTTTACATCATCAATTAATAAACCAAAAGAAGAACTAAACGAAGACGAACGCAAAACATTAAAGACAATTTGGCAATCCATTTCAACTTCCACATTTCCCATGCCTATGCCTAGTAGCCAACTTAGTGCCTCCCTTACGCTCAGTGCCCCAGCTTCCATCACCGTGTAATTGCCCTGTACGAACATATTCTTACAAGCCAAGAACCTGCCTTCATCATCTCTTAAAACCCAGCTAAGGCTCATTGTACCAGAGCTACTGTGGAGTGCCGCATCTGTATTTAGCTTCAGCATCCCTCTCCCCGTGCGTGACCATTTATCCGAGGGAGAGCTGGTAGCTGTGTTCGTGGTTTGCAAGTTCGCCGACTTCCAGTTTTCCAAGAACACCAAGGATCTACGCAACATATTATTCAGATCAAACGCCACCCCCTTCCATACATGTTCATTCTTGGCAGTCTAGATACCCGAACAAACAACTATAAACTTAGCACGTACCTCTTCATTCATAACATTAATGCAGTTGAAAAACCAATCGCTGGCATCAACACTGGACGCGTACATGCTAATCCACAGGGTAGTCCAAACAGACACATCATGCGGACATTGGATGAACATATGCAATGCAGATTTATCGGTTACTCCACACATGTGGCACGTCAGTGAGTAAACCACATGCTTGGCAGCCAGTGCCTCTCTGGTTGGTAGGTAGCGCGACGCCAACTGCCAACAAAAAGCCTTCACTTTGGGCGGGACTTGCGCATTCCAAATCTTCAGCCATGGTCGGGAGACTTATTAGACCAAGGTGAGCTGTTTGTAACACGACTTCACCGTGTAGGTCCCCTTTGAATCCCAAAACCAATACCAGCCGTCCTGTGGCCTCCTTATACTGATCGGTACACTCAAGATCAAGGCTACATCACGCTCACAAAATACATCTCGTACACATCCGACATCCCACCCTGTTCTCTATACGTTGAGAAACGAGGATACGGGGGCTTCGGACACAGACTCATGGAAATCAGTTTGCACGTATGGGTAGTCATGCACTGGCAGCCATGGATCCAGTCCAATTCTCGTACTGGCTCCGTTACCAATGTATCGCCTGCACCCTTGCCGGAGCATCTCCTGTACTGTTAACAACCCCCTCCAGATAAATGACAGGTTGCTCCTCTCCTTAACGTCAAAGTAGGTACCATTAGGGTAGTATCTCCCTTTGATGACTCGAGCTACCAGAGATGAGGGTCGCGTGAGTAGGCGTCATGCCTGTTTTCCAATTAAAGCTTTGTTCATCTCATGTAACTTTCGAAACCCCATGTCCCCACTTTCCTTCGAAGGCTTAAGCCAGCCCACGAACGCTACCGCACTCCCTTCCCATTCCCTACCCTTCATGTCCACCGGTACTCGTTTAGAATAGTCTCAATATCCTTGCATAGACCCATGGGCAGCATAAACTCCATCATCACATACACTGGCATGGACTGGATCACATTTTTTAACAGCACTTCACACCCCGCACGTGACAGGAATTTTGCCTTCCAACTTTTGATCTTTGCCAATATGTCAGTCCTTCACAAACCCCATAATTTCCTTCTTCTTCCTTCCCACAACAGAGGGGAGTCCTAAATATCTGGCATTAGACTCTCCTTCTGTCACCCCAAGCACATTGGTGATCTCCGCTCTGTGTTGCTGACTCACATTGGCGCTGAAGCATGCGGTAGACTTTTCATAGTTTACATGTTGTCCTGAAGCAGTAGCGTATGTATCCAACACATACCTCATATTCACACTTTCGGGGGTGTTCGCCCACAGGAACAGAAGGCAATCGTCAGCGAATAACAAATGAGTTATTGGTGGCGCTTGCCTTGCTATTGAGATGCTGTGCAGTTGTCCCGCACTCGTCTTTCTCTTTATTAATGCACTAAGCCCCTCGGTGACAAGTAAGAAGAGGTATGGTGACAACGGGTCCCCCTGGCGAATGCCCCTGGATGGAATTATTGGGCCCAGCTGTTGGTGTTCATGGAGGACACGGTATTTCACCGATGTAACCATGCCCATAATTATCTCAACCCAGTGTTGAGCAAACCCCATCTTCTGCGTCACAGCTTTTAGAAATTGCCACTCGACCCAGTCATAGGCCTTGCTAATGTCAACTTTCAACGCCACCATACCTTCTCGTCCCTGTGCTTTACGCTTCAGGAAATGGTGCACCTCAAAAGCCAACTTAACATTATCTGTTATCAAACGCCCCGGTACAAAAGCACTTTGTGCACTGGATATCAGCTTTTGTAGCAGGGGTTTAAGCCTATTCGCACAGACTTTGGCTGCGATCTTATATAGAACGTTACATAAAGAAATTGGGCGCATATCCCTCATTGATTCAGAGCGCTCCTTCTTCGGGATTAAGACAATTTAGGTGTCACTTGCCTTAGGTGGTAGGCTAGCAGATTGCATAAAGTCCCTACAAAACACTGTTACCTCTCCCCCGACGATGTCCCAGAAATGTTGATAGAAGCCCGGCTCGAACCCATCAGGCCCCGGGGACTTATCCGGGTGCATTTGGAACACAGCACGACGGCCCTCTTCCTGGCATAACGGCTGCAATAGCATATCATTTTCCCGCTCCGTTACAGAGGTTCGAATGCCACGAATGACCTCGTCCATATCCCCCTGGTTTGCAGTAAATAGGTTTTTGAAATAATCAACCATAAGATTACCCAGCTCACCCTCCTCCTCGACCCACTGCCCATCATCACCCCTCAGCCGTTGAATCTTGTTTTTCCTCTGCCTGGTCTTTAGGGAGTTATGAAAGAACTTACTGTTAACATCCCCTCCCCTATACCAGTATTCTTTTGCCCGCTGCTTCCAGTACCCATGTTGTTGTTCAAGCAGGTACAGAAACTCCCTCTCCGTGTCCGCATAGTCTGCCAGCCCATGCACATCTCGTCGTGGCTGTAGCACCTCCAGTCGGTTTTTACACTGGTCGATGCACCGCTGAAACTCCCTATTGTATGTTTGTCCCCAACGACCAATGTCCAGACCGCATCGTTTTACCCTACTCAAGGCATCCACGTCCACTGTACTTTCCCAGCTCTTCGCCACAATTTCACGGCACATGTCTTCTCGCAGCCAGATATTATCAAACATATAGCGTCATCATTTTCTTGCTCGCTGACTCGCAATAGGAACTAGGAACAATGGAAGGTGGTCACTATATGGGCACATCAATGACTTAGCTGTAGCAACATTAAACATGTTCAGCCAACTATCCGAAACCAGTATGCGGTCTAATTTTTCTTCCCTCATATTTGGCGAGCCACGAGACCTTTTCCAAGGTGAATTGGTGGCCTGAGAATGGTAGATCCTGCAAGCCACAATCAGAAATGGCTTCCCGGAACCCATTAATGCACCATTCTGTATGGGAGGCGCGCCCTCTCTTCTCGGATTGGTCTAGTAGGTCATTGCAATCTCCCATCACCAGCCATGGAAATATGTTCTGTGACACCAAGTGACGTAGTAACTTCCATGAATCCAGCCTGCGCTGCCTCTGCGGGTACCCATAGTAACCGGTGAGTCTCCACGCAGGGATTCCAACATCTAGCGAGATATGGCTGTCAACTTGATTGCCTGAGAACCCCATAATGGATAGAATAATCATCTTAGTCCAAAGCAATGCCAACCCACCGCTGTGCCCAACCGCATCCACAACAAACAGCCCTTCGAACCCTAACTGCACACGTATTGCTTCCATTCTATGCTTATCTACATATGTCTCCATCAAGAACACAACCTGCGGACTCTTTGTGCGGACTAAGTCCGCTAGCATGCGAATTTCCGTCGGGTTGTCAAGCCCCCGGTAATTCCAGCTTAAAAGACCCATCCTCCGAAGCCACCTCTGTCTCATCCGCAGCAGTATTCCTAGTGCCACTAGACCCACCTCCAGAAGAACTACCATACATATCAGCGCATGGTGCCTTCCACTCTCTGCGGTCAGCGTCGAACTACGGCGCGACCCATCCCTGGCCGAAAGTTGGTGTATTCCGTCGTGTTCCTGCCCTTAGCCATGCCCCGTAGGGTTTATCCGCTTTACCATCAACGCCTTGTGCCAGCTTAGGGCAGACCTTTTCCCCATGGCCAATGATGCCACAAAGAAAGTAGAAAGTTGGTAACCTTTCCGAGCGGAAGTCCACGAAGACCCATAGGCCATTGTCCTTCCTCAGTTTCATCTGTTTCCGCAGCGGTTTTGTTACATCGATGTTAACCCGCACTCGGTAGAAGGTTCGCATAGATCCCCCAAAGTTCTTTTCGTCCATCTGGACTAGCGTTCCGAGGAAAGACCCTATTACCGACACAACTCCTTCTAATCGTAGCCCAGCGGGCAGTGAATGAATCTGAACTCAGAAATCTGCATGGTTCAGTGACACATTCTCAGGATCATCACCCCGGTTGGAGCCTCTGCATGATCAACAGGTTCTGTTCGTATGTCCATGGCCCGTCACCTAGAACACTTGTGAGATCGGATTCGTGGTAAAACCGTATCAGAAACCGCTGAGGTTGTAGTTGGCACATGGTGACTCCCATGGTCGGCTGCCATATTGCAGCCATAGTATCTTGAAAGAAGATGAACTTGACTGGCCTGTTCGTTACGAGGCGGCCGACTGCACAGTACGTGGAATCCGTACTTTGCTCAGGGAGTGGAACATTTGGTAGTTGCAAGGCGGCGTCCTCATCGTCAACATCTGCTAGTACCAAGTTTGCACATAAGTGTGAGATGTCCTAGCCATGTAGGGGCGGAGAACTGTTCACAAAAGTGGCGGAGAACTGCTCACGAAAGTGGTGAGAGAGAAAATGGCACTTTTGAGATTTTGAGATTTGCGAAAACTCTGGTCGTCGTTGAAATTGTTTATATATATATATATATATATATATATATATATATATATATATATATTGAATTATATTTTATATATTTTGAATTTTATAAATTATTGTTGAGTATATTTCAAAATTTTAAGAATAGTTGTGTATATATTTTTTATTTTATGAGTTATTGGGTAAATTATGTATTGTTGTGTGTATATTTGGAATTTTATGAAATATTGTTTTTATATTTTCAACTTTTAGCAATTGTGTATATATATTTCGAAATTTTAGGAGTTGTTGAGTAAATTATGAATTGTTGTGTGTATATTTGAAATTTTATGAAATATTGTTTTTATATTTTCAACTTTTAGCAATTGTGTATATATATTTCAAAATTTTAGGAGTTGTTGAGTAAATTATGAATTGTTGTGTGTATATTTGGAATATATTTTATGAAATATTGTTTATATATTTTCAATTTTTAGAAATTGTTATCTATAAATGTTGATTATTGTGTATGTTATGAATTATTGTGTTTATATATTTTGAATTTTTTAGAATTATAATATATATTTCAAATTTTATGAATAATTGTGTATCTATTTTGATATTTTGAATTGTATAAATTATTGTGTGGATATTTGAAATTTTAGGAATTATTTTGTATATATATTTTGAATTTTAAGAATTATTGTAGCTGTTGTAGTTGTTATTATTATAGCAATTTGTTAAAATAGTGTTAAAAATGTTTAATTAGGGTTATTATTATTATTTTAAATTGGCTTGTGATGGATAAACGTTGGATGATAGCTAATCAATCGACTTAGTACGGAATACGAAGATGGAGTTAGAAATTTTTAGACTTTGCAAAGAATAACCTTCTGAATAGTAATAAGAGGTGGTTGTGTCATTGTAAGAAATGTTGTAATCAGAAAAGGTTATGTGAAGATGACATATATGATGATCTAATCGTTAATGGGATTAATCCATATTATACACAATGGATTTGGCACGGTGAAAGCGATGTGGCTACGACATCTAACATGTATGTTGACAATGAAGATGATGACTCTGAAGATCGGTTGGATGAAATGTTTTGCGATGTTGGAGAAGAGTTTATCAATCGGTCAAGTGAGTTGGATGAATTATTGAACGATTCAAAACAACCTTTATGGCCGAGGTGTAGCAAATATACCCGATTGTCTGTTGTATTAAAATTATTCAATTTGAAAGCTGGGAATGGGTGGAGCGACAAGAGCTTTACTGCGTTACTTAAAATAGTAAAGGATATGCTTCCAGATGGTAATGAACTTCCCAAGAGTAAGTATGATGCCAAAAAGATTTTGTGTCCCATGCGTATGGGATATAAAAAGATACATGTTTGCCCTAACGATTACATATTGTTTAGGATTGATTACAAAGAATTGCATGCATGTCCAATATGTGGGGCATCTCGTTATAAAACAAGAGAGAATGTTGCTGGTAAAGTACGTTTAAGAAGTCCACCAATTAAAGTTTGTAGGGTATCTCCCAATTCTTCCAAGATTTAAGCGCATGTTTGCAAATCCAAGCGATGCGAAGAATTTAACATGGCATGCAGATCAAAGATTTTCTGATGGCAAACTTGGACACCCGACTGATTCTTCTCAATGGTTAACAGATAATGCATTTCCTGAATTTGGCCACGAGTCGAGAAATTGTAGACTTGGACATTGTACTGATGGTATTAACCCCTACGGGAACCTAAGTAGCAAGCATAGCTCATGGCCAGTTATGTTGGTAATTTATAATCTACCCCCTTGGTTGTGTATGAAACGCAAATATATATTATTATGCTTGATGATTTCCGGGCCAAAACAACCAGGTAATGATATAGATGTTTTTTTGGTGCCTTTGATTGATGACTTGAAGCAATTATGGGATGAAGGTGTCTTAGTGTTTGACGCATATCGGAAGGAGAATTTTAAGTTGCATGCAATGCTTTTTTGCACAATCAATGACTTTCCAGCTTATGGAAACCTGTCTGGATATAGTGTCAAAGGTCATAAGACATGCCCCATATGTGAAGATAATACCTGTTATCATCAACTTGTTCATGGTAGAAAGACTGTCTACATGGGGCATTGGAGATTTCTTGATAAATTTCACCCTTATCGAAAATTTAAAAAAGCATTCAATGGGGTACAAGACTATACAGATGCTCCACAACCATTGACTGGGAATCAAGTTTATGAACGAGTTGAATGCATCAATGTTACTTTTGGTAAGAGTCAAAAGCTTAAATCTCAAAGAGGTAAGATGTCAAAATATAATGTTGAGATACCTACAAATGAGAAGAGTCTGTGGAAAAAGAAATCTATATTTTTTGATCTTCCATATTGGAAGACACTAGATGTGAGACATAGTATTTATGTGATTCATGTAGAGAAAAATATATGTGATAGTCTTGTTGGAACTCTTTTAGACATAAAAGGTAAGACTAAAGATGGACTCAATGCTAGATTGGATTTGGTTGAAATGTGTATACGACCTACATTAGCTCCACGTTGCGGGGACAAGAAAACATATTTGCCTACGGCTGCTCATACTTTATCAAGAAAGGAGAAAATAAGTTTTTGTGAGTGTTTAGGTGGAGTAAAGGTACCACAATGGTATTCATCAAAGATCAGTAGACTTGTTAATATGCATGATTTAAAGTTAGTGGGGTTGAAGTCTCATGATTGTCATGTCTTAATGCAACAACTACTGCCAGTGGCTGTTAAAGGCATATTGCCTAAGAAGTTGAGATATACCATCATAAGACTTTGTTTCTTTTTCAATGCAATATGTGGGAAAGTTATTGATCTAGACAAATTAGATGAATTGCAAAATGACATTATTGTTACACTGTGTCAGCTAGAGATGCACTTTCCACCTTCATTTTTTGATATCATGGTTCATTTTCTTGTGCATTTGGTGAGAGAGATCAGACATTGTGGTCCAGCTTATTTGAGGTAGATGTACCCATTTGAACGGTACATAAAAGTATTAAAAGGTTATGTTAGGAACCGATATAGGCTGGAAGCATCTATTATTGAAAGCTATGTTGCTGAGGAGATTACTGAGTTTTGTACTAAATATTTGGCAAGGGTAGAGGCTATTGGTCTTTTTAAGTGTCGACATGAAGGAAGAATTGCTGGGAAGGGCACTCGAGGAGTCAAAGTGAATACTATGCCTCGTGAAGATGTTGAACAGGAACACTTGTACATCTTGCATACTACAAGTGAAGTCGAACCATATTTAGATGAACACAAGACCTTGATTAAGGAGCAAAATTCCAAAAGGACAGACATGTGGATTGTGGGCGAACATAATCGTACTTTTATTGGTTGGTTCAAAAATAAAGTTCTTGAAGAGAATAATGTTTCTAAAAGTGTTTCATGGTTAGCTCATAGTCCCGGTTTGGATGTCATATGTCATAATGGATATGACATTAATGGGTTTTCTTTTTATACAAAAGCTCAAGATGAAAAGAGCACTATTAAAAACAGTGGAGTTACTTTGGTTGCAAATTCAATGCATTTTAGTAGTTCGAAATATACAAATCCTGTGATTGCAGAGTTATCATACTATGGTGTGATTGAAGAAATATGGGAAGTTTATTATGTTTTGTTTAGGGTGTCGGTGTTCCGATGTAGATGGGTTGATAATAAACATGGTGTAAAAGTTGATGAGTTAGGATTTACACTTGTAGATTTTAATCAGGAAGGGCATAAAAATGAGCCGTTCATAATGGCATCACAATCAAAACAAGTCTTTTATATTAGTGATCCTTGTGACAAAAAATGGTCAATTGTTCTTCATGGAAAGAGACAAATTATTGGAGATGAGAATGAAGATGTTAGTTTTGATATTGAGGAAATACCACCATTTTCTTCATGTTTATTGCCCGTTATTGTAGATAATGAGATAGATGAAGTGCATGCATCACGAGATGATCATCAAGAAAGGATATGAGAGAATTGGCTATTATATGTAATGCTTTAATTAAATATTTATTCTGTTTTTTAGTTTTCTTATTCTAATACTTCTATATATTCTAATAATTTTTCTTTCTAAACAGGCAGGATTCAGTAAATGATGATGGTACTACACAAAGTACTTCTTAAACAACCTATATAAAAAAAAGGCATGAACTGTATGAAATTAGTATGAAACTCAAAGGTTAAACAAGAGTGTGATGGCCCAAAATGTTATAATTGGCTGATGGCCCAATATCTAGATCTCATATACTTATTGATTAATCTATTTTCTTCCTTTCACAACATTACTACACTTTCTATATGACCCATATGAATCACAAAAGTATTATCATGTGAGCACTTCAAGACAATTTATTTAGTAAAAATGGATTACCAATTTAGCAAGATCCTGATAACAGTAATATCTTATAGAATCTGATGAAATATAATGGGGATGATAATACTTAGTAAAAATGGCATTCTCAAAAAACTAGCACATGAAGAAGTAGTTACCACCTAAACTTGGGATCCCCAGAAAGACACCTCGCGGCAAGAGCCAAGATGAGCTACTTTTTGGGCAACCTCCAGCGTATACTGACCTTCAAGGCGATTGTCCAGAATGCGGAATACTCTGCGCTTGTTAGCCATGTACAGTTTGGCCCATTCTACCAGATTGTGTTCCGCAGATGGTCTATTCTTGTCAATTGCTCTACGGCCCGACAACACTTCAAGGAGGACAACTCCAAAGCTATAGAAATCGATCTTGGCAGTCAAATGACCTACACCAAATGATTCAAATGGGGCTAAGTAAACCGACTGAGAGAGGCTGTGTTGTGGTTATACAAATGTTAAGACGCAGGAAAGAAATCTCTATTTACTTTCGTAACAGGAAAAAAGTATAAGAATCGAGGTGTGTGCATAAATGATGAAACCATACCAGTGGCTAAATACTCCGAAGCAGCATATCCATAGGTTCCCATGACCCTAGTGGAGACGTGGCTTTTATCACCCGTCGGTCCATCCTTGGCCAAGCCAAAGTCAGAGAACTTGCCATAGTAACCAAATCCACCTTCTCCCAGCACACTATCGGGACGAAAGTTCCTGGTGGCCATTCTTAGATCAGCAAACGTAAAGCGTTTCAGATTGGGGGACTGCAAGATCTCCCTTCACTCCTGGTAGCACAGAACTGCTACTTGAATTTTTCAAGGGAAAACAAGAAGATAAGAACTAAAATGTAATCACCTGTATTAGGGGGACTTTCAGCTTTGATTATGGCACTCAAGCAAATACCCATCAGAAAGACCAGGCTTTACTCGCTATCTTCTTCACCAAACTTATTTTTCGCTCTGCAAATCATCAAGAACATGTTAAATGACAGATCTAAATAGTAAAATAGCCAGAAAATAAACAACCCGACCAATGAACAAAAATAAATAGCCAAAAAGCCAAAAAGGTGGTTTCTTTGATTCACCGAGACTAAGATGAGCACTCCACCAAAACCACTAAGTTGTTGAAAAGTTGAAATTAAACCCAGAAAACTGCAGAAAAAAAGAATAAAGATTAAATTGAGGAAAGAAGCACCTTCCTCAGAGAACAAGAGCAACCCAGCTCAGACCTGATTATGATTTAAGAGAAGGGATTAGAGGAGTAAATGACTGCTTTTCAGAGGTTTCGCTGAAGAAGCTGATAGAAAGAGGGGATGAGCTTTTGTTTGACACTTTGACTAATCTTTTCGGCTTTGGCACTGTTCAAAATCAATTGAGACCAAGATAGAGTCAAACAGAGCACTAAAATGTATGCTCTATAAAATTCCATACCCATCATATTAACAGAAATACAGAATACATTTCACTATAACCACAAAAAGTGGGTGTATACCTGCCACCGAGAAAATATGTAGCTTTGTGCTCAGATGTGATAGACCTGCATTAGCTACTCCAAGATTGCCTTCACTGTTCTCAAAATCGATGGAATTCACTTTGTGAGGCATTGTTGAAGATCCAATTTCACCAGGTTTGATTATCTGCTAAAAGTTTGAGATGATTATCACTTTTTTATATTGTTAAATAATAGTACCATTGCATCAAAGTAAACAGGGGACAAACCTATTTGAAGAATCGCAAAGAAATGTATCCCCAGATGTCTCTATTAAAATCAATTAAAATGTTGTTGAACTGGATAATAGAATGAAAAAGTTTGGTCATATAGTCATGGGTTTCAATCTGCATTGTTAAAGAATAGTGGAGTTACCAAGTGGCTTGTGGTCCACTAGTATCGGGTTGCTCCTCTAAGTTGGAAGTGAAAGGTTTGAATCTCAGTTGAGGCAAGTAGTGTGTATATGTAGTTTATCCCCCTTCTTTCTTTACAATAAAAACAAAAAAAAAATAAAAAAATAGTGGAGTTAAACTATATCACAAGGTTAAGTAACCAAAACATAAAGTTCACATGTAGTCACATTATTTTGGCAACAATCACTTGAAACTAGACAACATCCACACCATCACATAATCTGATATAAATGTTTCAAACGATGTAATAAAGAAATAAATTTAAAAATATATATTAAATAGACGTGGTAAAGAGTAAAGGTAATACATAAAGCAAATGATAAATTGCAAGATCTAGGGAGAGTAGCATCAACAAATTCAAAGCCTTTTACCCCTGCGTCTGCATATAGGCTCTTTCAGTATTAATTAGTCATAGATTCAAGCCCTGAAAATGACTTTTTCATCTAGAAACAGATGTAATGTAAGGTATTATACAGCTTCCTTCTTCAAATCAAGTATGATAGGGAGCCTTGTATCACTGAGTCAAATATCTATGTCTATACATCTGCTATATATAAAAGTGGCTTAGTGTTCCTTTTGTGAAGACTGAAATAACCAATGAAAATCATTAGACACCCTGTCTAACCCAAGAGAAAGCATCCTGGTTTTATTAGAGGCAATGTTTAATACAATAGACATGTGACTAGTATAATATAATAGGATAAGCATACTGATGATCCACTATAAAATGATTAGACTTACATGACAGGTTTATGTATGCCATGCACTTATGGCAGTTCTCAAATAGCAAGCATCAAGCTTATCTCCATACTGACAAGATAGTAAAACAATGCCCAATAAGGTCATAGAAGATACCTGAGGGACATAAGGATTGAGGCTTAACCCAAGATCTTGCCAACACCAGGATCTCCACCTACTAAAACTAAGGAAACTACAGAATGGAAACATCCAGATTCAGTGATATAAAAAATCTGTATTGAGATGTACAAGTTTAAATACACTAGCGAATGAAAATGAGGAGAAGGGTCGGGGCTGCGGTTAGCGAATGAAAATGACTTCAAATAAATGCTCCCAGAACTCTTTGTGAAACACTATGAAGTCGGCTATTTAGTTAATAGCCGAGGTTATAGATAAAAAATAAAATAAATAAATAAAAAATAAATACAATACGACGTCGGTTATCTATTTAGCCGACGGGAATATTATAAAAAAAATAAAAAAAAATAAAATACCTCACATCGTATTGTATTTATTTATTTTTTATTTTATTTTTCATCTATAACGTCGGTTATTAGTAAATAGCCGACGTTATAGGTTTTATAAAAAAAAATTAAAAAGGCTTTAACGTCGGCTATGTATATAGCCGACGTTAAAAGCCCAACGTTATATGTGAATTCTGTAGTAGTGTTGTCTATGCTTTGGTGCCATTGCATCCCAAGGAAGGAATAAAATGCAACCAAGAGCTAGGAAGTGTATCTTCTTAGGGTTGCCACCAAATGTGAAGGGTTACTGAAATATATATAAGCGCAGCACACAGTGATGTTAAAACTGACGTTGTAACACAAACGATTTGCAACGCAGTTCGGGCAAACAACCATAATCTGCAAGACACTTCTCAATTTGAGAATTTGCCTAAATCCACTAAAAGCTTAATATTTAAAGTACACTATTTGGAACCTGAGATTACACAATAGAATGATCTTTCCTATCGGACTATTGAGACCTAAACACATGTACTACTTTCTAGGGGATTTGGGTATCTCTTCTCAATGACTCTCGTTGGCGAGCTGTCGTAGGCTCCCAAATTAAAACCTTACAAACGTAGTTGCGGGAGTAAGGATCGATCCCACGAGGAGTAACTAGTTTAATGTATGTGCTCAAATTAAAGTAAGGGGGGGTTTGGTATGAAGATGATAATCAAATAAAATAAACGAATAAAGCTATGAAAACAATATATTGAAAGCACCTATAATAGAAAACCTTGGTTAGTAAAGATCCACCACCGGAATTTAACACTGATCATTGATTCAAAAGGTAATTAGTATGCAATTGAATATTTGTCGTGAAATTATTTCATTTCTGTTTTCCCTTAGTTGTAGGTAAATAAAGCACAAGCGGTTTAATTACCCCTAACTACTAAATAACCTAAGACAAGCGCTATAGATTTAATTTAATAGCAGCAATAGGAACTAGGAAAACCAACAAACTAAATAACACAAGCACAAGCGGTTGCATTTAATTTAGGAAAATATTCTTCCTGAAATCAATTATCACTAAGCCGTCAATAATTAACCTCAGTTGCTACTGAATATTAGAATAATTTGTAGCACAACATTATCTAATATAGCAAATAATTATATCAAATAACTTAGAAGAATATTTAATACCCAAATGCATAAAAATTATATAATAAAATAAATAAATAACCTTACAGCGTAATGAACTCCGGGGCTTCAATTCACTAAACCAAACAAGAAATTAGCCGCGAATGGGCATTGATAACAACCTTAAAGAATATTCGAGAGGGGAAGAATGAACGTTTAACAAAATAAAATGTTCTACTATTTATACAATTTAAAAAATGAACCTAAGCTATGCTCTACCACCCATTCCCTATTTTCTTGCGCCACACAAAGAGTCTTCCGCTATTGCCGCATGAATTGGTCGACGAAAGTTTTCCGTTGCTTTGCTGTAGATCCTACACGAATTGAAGACAAGAAATAATATAATTACAATGTTTGAATTTGTTTTGTCTTTTTGCTATGAATTGAACCTAACTTAAAATAATACTTAAATTATTAAGTAAAGTTGGACTATAAATTGGACTCAAAACTTAAATCTAACTAAATATTATTATAATACACTTATTTACCTAATTAATTAATTAAGTTCTAAAATGAAATAATTATTAAATAATTATAAATAACTAATGTAAAATTATTATAAAGATGTACCTAAAATATTAGCGTAAAATATGCCCATCAAATTCCCCCACACTAAAACGTTTGCTTGTCCCCAAGCAAAAATATTATTTGCGAAGTAAATTAAAATGAAATTCCCACCACTCATAACATATCATGAACAACAATCTGAAGCACCCTGCAATTAATAAGTTAGCACCCTGTTTGAAAATGGAGAAAACTAAATAAGTAAGCCCTCACAGGAATGTCACTCATCACTCAAGTGTTTGATGGGTATAAATTTCACTCAAGTTCATTCCTATAAAATTGCTCTACCATAGGCTTGCATATCTTCTCAATCACCTCTACAAGAGTCATGCATGACACAAATCATAAGGACTTTTCACAGGTTGTAATGGGGCTAGGGTTAAGATAGGGAATATTTAGGAAAGTAGCTTAAACAAAAGCTTTCAAACTAGAGGAGTAAATAAATACAAATAATCCAAGATACTTGCTCAACACCAAGTATAGAATGCTTCCTCAGTATTACCAGAATTTCCCCTTACTTCATTTATTTAGAAGTAACTTCAACTCAAAATCAATTGCTGATTCTTTCTCATTTTCTCATAAATTTTCAGCATATATTCTCCATTTTTCCATTTTTTCATTTTTTCAATTTTTCAATTTCCATATTTTTTGGAATCATGAATTGTCTTCGTTTTCTTTTTCATAGAAGACCAGTGACAAATCGGCAATGAAGATACAACCCACCTCATTCTCCATCATATTAACACAAGAAAGTGACCTCCCCCACACTTCTTCCTCACAACCTCACGTAGATTACACGAATAATTCAAAATTTGCTCCACTAGTTATTCAGCTGGGTGAAGGCATTATTTTTAGATATAAAAGGCTTGTAATGTGGTTCAGGATAAAGAAAAGAATGGCCATGAAGCTCAAGGTGGTTAACAAAGGGGAATAAATCATAGGACAAACCGGTTATTTGGCTAGTGGGGCTCAAAATCAAATAATGGCCTTAATCACACTTGAATCATGCATGGTCTAATTAGATTTAAAAGAGAATCAAGGCAAGTTCTAGAGAAACAAAATTATGGAAGAAATCACACAATAGAAAGAAAATAAGACCGAAGTGTCGGTCAATGGCTCAAAACACTCACAGGTTTATTGCTTACTTAATATAGCCACTACATATCAAACAAGAAATGCTAACAAACTAATCACAATTTGCCAAACTATTTATTCAATCATGTTATGAATTCCAAGAAAGGAAAATATAATATTTTGTTTTTCAAAATAATACTTATTTTGCATAAAATACTAGTAAAATATTTGTGAAAATTTTTGAAAATTTTGACATATGCAAACAAATAATAAAACTAAATTCCCTCCCCCACACTTATTATCAACATTGTCCCCAATGTTGAAAAAAAAACACAGAAAAAGGGTTATTGAATGAGAATAGGGAATAAAATAAAATAAAATAAAATAAAATAAAATAAAAATGGAACAAACACACCTTAGGTTGCCTCCCAAGCAGCGCCTTTGTTTATCGTCGTTGGCTCGACTTATGATATTTCTTTAAATTTCCATCGTCTTTTTGAGTACCTTCGATGATTATGAATATTCAAAGAAACAGCCCCTTCATGCAGATTAGGACTCAAAGATGATTTATTATTTGGTTCTTCTTTATTTTCAATAGAAGCAATTGCATTAAATTTAACAAGTTTCAAGGAATCAACAAAAATTGCAAAATTATCATCACTAGGAGATCTCATGGTATCATAAATATTAAAGTTCACAAATTTACCATTAGACTCCATTGTAAGCATGCCACTATGAATATCAATTTTCGTTTTTGCAGTTTTTAAGAATGGTCTTCCTAACAAAATATGAGAAATTTTATTATCATTTTCCATATCCAGTACATAAAAATCAGCAGGAAAAACCAAGTTATTAACTTCAACAAGCAAATCCTCAATCACACCCCTAGGATATGTAGTAGATCCATCAGCCAATTGAATTACTATACTAGATTTACTCAGGGGTCCAAGATTTAACGAATTATAAACAGAATATGGCATCACATTAATAGAAGCTCCTAAATCTAACATAGCATTTTCAAGTTTCACACCACTTATCATGCACGGGATAGTAAACATACCCGGATCTTTACACTTTTCAGGAAGATTGTCTTGACTAGCCATAGAGACATTCTCATGCACTTTCATTTCCTCAATTCTGTTATTTCGTTTATTTTTCAAAGTGCATAACTCTTTTAGAAAATTTGCATAGCGAGGTACTTTTTCTATAAAATCTAAAAGTGGTTTATTAGCATCACATTCACGAAAGGTCTCATACAGATCATTATTTGAGTTTCCTCTTATTGGTTCTAAAAGAGCTTGAGGAAATGGGGGTACTGGTTCATAATCAGAAAAAGAAGAAAGCTTACCTTGGGACTTCTCTTTATTGTTGACAATGATTCCTGCACTTATTTCCTTGTTTAAATCAACATTCTTTTCCAGCGACATACTTTCAACACTAATTGCACTTACATTCTCTTTAGGATTAACAACCGTTTGAGAGGGTAATTTGCCAGAACTCTGTGCTTCCAACCGACTAACCGTAGTTGCTAGTTGACCCATTTGTCTTTCCAAGTTTTGAATACTAGCATTTGTTTCTTGAATACTAGCTCTTGTCTCTTGTTGGAATAGTTGTGTTTCTTGTTGAAACTGCAAAGTGTTAGTAGCAAGAGATTTAACAATATCTTCTAGGTTCGTACTTGAGCTAGAGCTTTGGGTTGGTTGTTGTCTTGAAGGAAATGATTGTCTATACTGTTGAAAATTAGAACGATTCTGAACAAACTGGTTCCCTTGTGAGTTCCCATAGCTAAGGTTTGGGTGATCCCTCCATCCAGGATTATATGTATTAGAAAATGGATCATACTTACCTCGAGGTTGTCCAGGAAAACCTCCAACCATATTAACATGTTCAATAGGTTCTTCTTGAAGAGTTGGGCAGGCATCAGTTTGGTGCCCAACTACCGAGCAAATTCTACATGCTTTTACAGTTTGCATATTGCCTAGTGCTAATTGACGAACAAGAGTAGTTAAACCAGAAATTTGTTGTTCAAGAGCAGAAATATTTACCTCATTCACTTGCTTAGACGGTTGGACAAGTCTATTGCCAAACTGTTGAGAATTTGCAGCCATGTTTGCAATTAGAGTTCTTGCATCGTCTGGTGTCTTGTCAACTAAAGCACCACCGCTTGCGGCATCAATCATGCTTCTATCCATTGAAAAAAGTCCTTCATAAAAGTATTGAATGAGTAATTGATCACTAATTTGATGGTGTGGGTAACTTGCACATAGTTTCTTGAAACGCTCCCAATATTCATACAGGGACTCTCCATTGTTTTGCCTTATACCACATATTTCCTTTCTGATGTTGGCCGCCCTTGAAGCTGGGAAATATTTTTCAAGGAACACTGTTTTCAAGTTATTCCATGTGGTGATGCTCCCAGAAGGTAAATAATATAGCCAATCCTTCGCTGAATCTTTCAAAGAAAATGGGAAGGCTCTCAACTTGATTTGTTCTTCAGTAACCCCTGTGGGTTTCATACTTGAACACACCACATGGAATTCCTTCAAGTGCTTGTGAGGATCTTCACCTGCAAGTCCATGAAAAGAAGGCAATAGATGAATTAACCCAGATTTTAATTCAAATTGTACATTAGCATCCAGAGCAGGAAAAGTAATGCATAAAGGTTGCTGATCCAAATTTGGAGCTCCAAGCTCTTTTAAAGTACGATTTTGAGCCATGGGTTCCTCTTCTAAATCAGAATTGGCAGAATTGGTAGCCAGATCACTAAACTCAAATTTTCTCAAAGCTTGTTTCTTCCACCTGCGTATAGTTCTTTCAATTTCCGGATAGTACGGCAAGATTTTTTGATTAGCAGATCGGGTTATAGGCATAAAAAAAGAGAAAATATATTGCAGCATTTATGTAAAAGCACTGAAAGAAAAGAAAATTATTCTTTTTGATTAAAAAAAACAAATAAATAAATAAATAAATAAAATAAACAAATAAATAAGTGAACACAAAATAAACAAGAAAGTCTCCCCGGCAACGGCGCCAAAATTTGGCGAGCTGTCGTAGGCTCCCAAATTAAAACCTTACAAACGTAGTAGCGGGAGTAAGGATCGATCCCACGAGGAGTAACTAGTTTAATGTATGTGCTCAAATTAAAGTAAAGGGGGGTTTGGTATGAAGATGATAATCAAATAAAATAAACGAATAAAGCTATGAAAACAATATATTGAAAGCACCTATAATAGAAAACCTTGGTTAGTAAAGATCCACCACCGGAATTTAACACTGATCATTGATTCAAAAGGTAATTAGTATGCAATTGAATATTTGTCGTGAAATTATTTCATTTCTGTTTTCCCTTAGTTGTAGGTAAATAAAGCACAAGCGGTTTAATTACCCCTAACTACTAAATAACCTAAGACAAGCGCTATAGATTTAATTTAATAGCAGCAATAGGAACTAGGAAAACCAACAAACTAAATAACACAAGCACAAGCGGTTGCATTTAATTTAGGAAAATATTCTTCCTGAAATCAATTATCACTAAGCCGTCAATAATTAACCTCAGTTGCTACTGAATATTAGAATAATTTGTAGCACAACATTATCTAATATAGCAAATAATTATATCAAATAACTTAGAAGAATATTTAATACCCAAATGCATAAAAATTATATAATAAAATAAATAAATAACCTTACAGCGTAATGAACTCCGGGGCTTCAATTCACTAAACCAAACAAGAAATTAGCCGCGAATGGGCATTGATAACAACCTTAAAGAATATTCGAGAGGGGAAGAATGAACGTTTAACAAAATAAAATGTTCTACTATTTATACAATTTAAAAAATGAACCTAAGCTATGCTCTACCACCCATTCCCTATTTTCTTGCGCCACACAAAGAGTCTTCTGCTATTGCCGCATGAATTGGTCGACGAAAGTTTTCCGTTGCTTTGCTGTAGATCCTACACGAATTGAAGACAAGAAATAATATAATTACAATGTTTGAATTTGTTTTGTCTTTTTGCTATGAATTGAACCTAACTTAAAATAATACTTAAATTATTAAGTAAAGTTGGACTATAAATTGGACTCAAAACTTAAATCTAACTAAATATTATTATAATACACTTATTTACCTAATTAATTAATTAATTAAGTTCTAAAATGAAATAATTATTAAATAATTATAAATAACTAATGTAAAATTATTATAAAGATGTACCTAAAATATGAGCGTAAAATATGACCATCACTCGTACCTCACAATATTAGATCTTGAAAGCTTGAGCTCTTTTGTTGATGAGTAGCTGCTTTTATAATGCCAAGAGTCATATGATGGTCCTAAGAAGGCTTTGTTAATCCTTACCAAAATAGGAGTAGGAATCTTTGATTCCTATTTGGATATGGTAATCCCTTTTTGCACAAAATTTGACAAGCTATTTTGAATCAACATTCTCCCCCTTTGTCAAATTTTTGGCAAAAACTTTGATCTTCCAGGAGCCTAAAAAAGACCCCCACTTAGTTGATTACCCTTTTGAAAACAGTTTGTCTTGAATCTTAGAGGTATTATCCTCTTTTCTTTGTATATGTTTTTGTTGCTTTGTCAGCTCAAAAATAAATGGTAGCCAGAGAACAGCTGAGTCAATCTGCATATATGGTAGAAATAGAACTATACACAGTAGCATGTACACAAAAAGAGTTTTCCAGGGGAAATTTGCATATACAAAAAAAGAGCATATGAGAGCGTAAATTGTTAACCCCAGACAAGCATCACTGTGCTGCTTTTCTCCCCCTTTTTTGCTAAAAACTTGCAGTTGTTTCAACTTGAGGCTGTTGAACCTGAGGTTTCAACATCCTCCTGGCTTTCATCCTCTTGGTCTTCTTCTTCCTGGCCTTCTTCTTCCTCATTATCTTCTTCATTTTCTTCTTCAACTTCTGGTTTAAGGGCTTTTAGCCATTGAAGGACTTCTGATTTCTCTTCTTTGATGTCCATGTGCATCCTTATGACATGCTTTTCTGATGCTTGTAGCTCAGTCAGTCTTCTTTCAAAGTAGTTTATCAGATTTTTCTGATCTGTTGAATTGTTTTTTGGCACTGTGTTTTTCAAGTCATTCCGGTGCCCTCCTTTCTTCAGTTTCATGGTAGTGTTGATGGCATTGACTTGGGTTTTTGGTCCATGGGTTTTGAGGCCCTGTTTTGTCAAGATAGCAAAAATCAGATTTGGGAAGATTATGGAGGAGTTTGTCACAGTATTTTCTGCTAGATTGGTTATCTTTGAATGGATGATGGTTCCAAGGTTGAACTTGATTCCTTTCCCAATCTTGTACAGTAGTTCTGCCAGAGTCCATTTGACAGTGGATAGATGTAAGGAAGGCATCCAATTGACAAGAGCTATCTTTTGAAGGATAGCATATTTTCATGTCAAGGAGGCAGCCTTGATCTTGTTCTTTTCGGAACATACATTCCCGGCTGTGAGCTCTTGAGCAACTTGTTCACTAGTTACTTGCACACACTGCTCAGTTTCAGTTGTTCCCAAGTAACTATTGATTATATTAGGCCGAAACTCATAGAACTTACCCCTTAGATATACTTTCCCGTACATAGGACTGCTAGGTGTGGTGGTGTTTTTAGTGAGATTGCAGTAGAATTCTTGGATGACCTGTTCATCATAGGGTTCAATGTTGGTGACTGTCCCCAAGAGTTGATTTGAGATCAAGATTTCTTGAATCTGTTCAAAGTTGTCCAGTTTGTCAATGATGAGTAATTTTTGGCTAATAACCTTTTTCTCCACAATCTTTTTCCATAAGCTCACAGATTCTTTTCTCAAAAAGGTTGTGTTGTGGGGTTTTGGTAATTTTGACAGGTCAGCACTACCAACCACTTTCTGTTTTCCTTTTTCTTTGGCATTTGATTTCCTTTTACCCTTTTCTTGATTGCCAGTCCTTGTCTTGACTCTTTCCTGACTAGTATCTTTTTCTATTTCATCAGGCACCCAATTTTGCTTTCTCTTCCCTTTTCTTTTTCAACTTTTTGTGTTTGTTTGGCTTTGGAGGGGGTATATTCGGACATTTTCGGGGTGGTTTTGCTCTGACTGGGAAGTCACTTGGTTTTTTAGCCCTAGGATCTGCCCCTTCGTAGTGGTCTATTCTTTTTCTTTTCCTCAGTTCTCTGTCTGATATAGGGGCAATTTCCTCTTCCCCTTTTATAGGGGGTCCGGTGTTCATTGGGCTGGGTTGTGAGTCTCCTTCGGACTCTTCCTCTGTTCCTAGGTTGGGAGGAACCCTTCCTTGTTTTAGGGCAAACATCAATTGGCAGAGATCATCATTCGGATCTTGGATGATGTTATCCCCTAAATCTACCGCAGTGGGTAGGGGATTCGTAGTTCCTTCATTCAAATCAACAACAAGGTTTAGGTTACCTGGAGTGGTGTCTTGTTGTTCTTGAATTTCATTGAATGGCACTTGGGAGATTGGGACCGGGTCCATAAAGACGGTGTTGGGGCTTTCTTCTTCGATGCACAGTGGGTTTGAGGGTGCTCCGGTGCCGGTGTACTGTGGTGAACTGTCGGTGACCCCTCTTCGAGGTATCTTCCCTTTCCTTTGATTTCTAGTTCTCACCATTGTTTGATTTTGTGTGGTGTGAGAGAAGATTGTGGATGGATAGCTTTGGGTAGACGACGACCCTGATTTTTAATTTGGGGCTGTTTATGTGTGGGCTCGGGTTTGGGCTTTTTGATTGTTGAGATATGGGCTCCTTTTTTTTTTTTTTTTTTTTTTTATTATTTGACTATGTAGAGTCGGCCCACGTTTCTATTTGCCTTTATAAAATGCACAGGCCTATTTCGGCCCTTAATTTTGCATATCTGTTCCCGTCAAGTGCTTTTGTTAAGATATCTGCTAGTTGTTTTTCTGTGTTAATGTGTGTTAGATTGATGATTTCATCTTCTACTTGCTCTCTTATGAAGTGATGCCTGATATCGATGTGTTTTGTTCTTGAGTGTTGTACTAGATTATTTGAAATATCTATGGCTCTTTTGTTATCACAATGAATTGTCATAGTCGATTGATGTATTCCATAGTCTTCTAGCATCTGTTTCATCCAAAGTAGTTGTGTGCAACAACTTCCTGCTGCAATATATCCAGCCTCGGCTGTTGATAAAGATATAGAACTTTGTTTTTTGCTTATCCAGGATACCAGGTTTGTTCCTAGGAAAAAATATCCTCCTGAGGTGTTTTTCCTGTCATCTATGTTTCCTGCCCAAGCAACATCATAATAAGCTGATAAGTGATGATTAGTATCGAAGGAATACCATATTCCTAAGTCGGTAGTTCCTTTGACATATTTAATGATTCTCTTTACTACTTTTAGGTGTTGCTCAGTATGATTGGCTTGATATCTAGCACAAATTCCTACTCCAAAGTTTAGATTTGGCCTACTTGCAGTTAGATATAGTAGGCCTCCTATCATGCTTCGATATAGGGTTTGCTCAACCTGTCTTCCTTATGAATCCTTTGATATTCTTTCTGTTGTTGGAACTGGTGTTCTGACAACTTTGCTTTCTTCTAGTCTGAATCTTTTAACTAGGTTCTTTGCATATTTGCTTTGTGATATAAAGATCCCATTATCTTGTTGTTTGATTTGTAGACCTAGGAAGTAGTGTAGTTCACCAACCATGCTCATCTCAAATTCTCCTTCCATGTTAGTGATGAACTGATTTTTGTGGCATTCGGATGTTGACCCAAAGACTATGTCATCAACATAGATTTGGGCAATGACAATGTCTTGACCATAGTGTTTGACAAATAAGGTTTTGTCCACACTTCCTCTTTTGTAGCCCTTTTTGACTAGAAATTCAGTGAGTCGTTCAAACCACACCCGTGGTGCTTGTTTTAGCCCATATAGAGCTTTGTTGAGTTTAAACACGTTTTGTGGAAGATGGGGTTCCTCAAACCCCTTCGGTTGAGCAACATAGACTTCTTCTTTTAAATTGCCATTTAAGAATGCTGTTTTTACGTCCATTTGATAGTTTTATCTTCAGTATGCAAGCTACGGCTATGAGGAGCCGGATTGATTCAATTTTGGCTACAGGGGCAAATGTTTCCTCAAAATCTGTCCCTTCAATTTGTGTGTATCCTTGTGCTACTAGTCGGGCTTTGTTTCTTGTTATGTTTCCTTGTTCATCTGTTTTGTTCTTGTAGATCCATTTTGTCCCGATGATGTTGGCTTTTTCTGGTTTAGGAACTAGTTCCCAGACGTTGTTTCTTTCAAATTGTTGTAACTCTTCTTGCATGGCTTCCACCCAAAACTCATCTTTTAAGGCTTCAGAAATGTTTTTTGGGCTCTATTTTGGAGGTGTAGCAATAGTCTCCTTCCTCTATTTTCTGATAATCTCGTTTCTTTCCTCTAGTTTTGATCCCTTCATTGAGTCCTCCTATAATATTTTCTAATGGATGATTTTTCTGTGTCCTTGTGTTATCAGTAGTGTGACTTTCCTCAATTTCCTCAATGAGTTTTGTTTCCTCTTTCTCTGTTGTTTATGTTTCAGATTTCTATTCCAGTGGTGTTGAAACTGTTGTTTCAACAACACTTGGTCCTTCTTCATCAGTGGTCAGATCTTCTGATGATGTGTCATTGATGACTACATTTATAGATTCCATGACACTGTCTATTCTGAGGTTGAACACTCGATAAGCCCTACTATTTGAGGAATATCCTAGGAATATTCCTTCATCTCCTTTGATGACAAACTTTCCCAATGGTTCTCTATCTTTTAATATATAACATTTGCTGCCAAACACATGAGTATGTTTCATATTTGGTGTCTTTCCTTTCCAGATTTGATAGGGTGTCATGTTGGTTTCTTTTCGTATGAATACTCGATTGATCAAGTAACATGCGGTGTTTACTGCTTCAGCCCAGAACCTTGGTGATAATTTTTTGTGATTTAAGAGAACTCTTGCCATTTCTTGGATAGTTCGATTTTTCCGTTCGACCACTCCATTCTGTTTGGGTGTTTTTGGAGCGAAGAATTCATGATGAATCTCATTTTCTATGCAATAGTCTTTGAATTTTGAGTTCTCGAATTCTCTACCATGATCACTTCTTAAACGGATGATTTCCCCTATTTTTCCATCCTTTTCGTTTTGGATTTTGATGATGAGAGTTTTGAAGGTTGTGAACTCTTCGGACTTCTCTCTAAGGAAGTTTACCCATGTGAATCGTGAGTAATCATCAACGGTCACATAAACGTACCTTTTTCCTCCTATGCTTTCTGTTTGAGTGGGTCCAAATAGATCCATGTGGAGTAACTCTAGAATTCTGGAGGTGTGTATTCCTAAGGTATTCTTGTGAGCTGTTCGTGTGATTTTGTTTTCAAGTCATGCATCACACTTTTTATTTTCATCTATGTCAAGTGTTGGAACTCCTCGGTAGGCTCCTTTCTTTAACCCCTTTTTTATGTCATGGAAGTTTATGTGTCTCATCCGTTGGTGCCATAATTGTGCTTGATTGACAGTTGTTTGTAGGCAGGTTAAATCACCGTCCCATGTGTAGCATTTATTTGTAGACTTTTTTCCTATCATAACACATTCGTGATTTTGGTTGAGAACACTGCAGCTATCTTTTAAAAATTCCACTTTTAGTTCATCTTCACATAGCTGGCTTATACTAATCAAGTTTGCTTTTAGTCCTTGTACTAGGAAGACTTTTGGCAATCTAGGTAGCCCATGTACATTCAAGATCCCACTTGCAATAATCTTACCTTTTCCTCCATCTCCAAAGGTGACGTACCCTTCACTCTTATACTGAATGTTTTCTAGATTTTCTGGGTTTCCAGTCATATGCCTTGAGCATCCGCTATCAAAATACCATATATCTTGTCCTTTGCTTGTTTTAAAGGTATATGCAACATTTTGATCTTTTCTTACCCAGATTTTCTTGCTATTATTTCTGTTTTGTGATGGCCAATCCCTGTTGTTTTCCCTGTAATAGAGATCATTTTGTCTCTTGTAGCAGTACGCTTTTATGTGTCCCAATCTGTGACAATAATAGCATCTGATCCTTCTTCGATGTTGAAAGTGATGTTGCGACACTTCCAGGATTTTCAGCTTGGTGACTTTCACTGGAGGTTGAGATTGGAGACCTAGGCCTTTCAGTTAGCACCTTGATTTCCTGTAGCAGTTTGGCCTCTCTGTTTTTGGAATCTAATAATTCATTTTGAGCTTCTTTGAATCGTTTTTCTCCTCTATCTTTTTCATCTTTTAGAAACTGATTTTCTTCCACGAGTTCTAGATTTACTTTGATGATTTGTTCCCATTTGGCATGTAGTTGAGTATATGCCTCTAGTAATTCTTGTATATCTTCTCCGTTGTTACTTTCATGATTTGTGGTAAATGCTACGAAATTAGTGTTGGTGTCTTCTTCACTGTCTGAGTCATCACTTAATGTTTTCATGTATGTTTTGTTCTTTCTTTTAAGATATGTTGGACATTCTGACTGGATGTGTCCAAACCCTCTGCACTCATAACACTGTGTTCCCTCTGTAGATGATCTGTCTCTTCTTTTCGTACTTCGTGGTTTTTGATTGACTGTGGAATTTCCTTGGCCATTCGAGGGGTTTTTATTTCTAAATTTGTTGAACTTTTTGAGAACTCGATTGAAATTCTTTGTCCAATAGCACGATTGACTGTTCCATGGTTTCAGTATCAGTTTCTGAGCTCTCTTCTTGTTTAGATTGTAGTGTTATTCCTTTGCAATTATTTTTCTGGTTTTGTAACATCTCAAGCTCATAGGTTTGAAGGTTTCCCATTAGATCACTAAGTTTGTAGGTATTCAAATCTTTGTTCTCTTGAATTCAAGTAACTTTTATCAGGAATCTTCCAGGTAGGGAACGTAGTACCTTTTTGACGATCCTATGTTCAGGTATAGGTTCGCCTAGATTGAATGCATCTCTAGAGATGCTCAAAACTCTTGCACTAAATTGTGTGATATTTTCTTCTTCTTCCATTTTCAAGTTTTCAAACTCTGTCTGTATCATCTGTAATTTGGATTGTCATACAGATGTGTTCCCTTCATGATGTTCACATAATATACTCCACGCAATTTTGGCTATGCGAGTGGTGGCAATCAGTTTGAAGGTATCTTCGCTCACAGCTCCATAGATTGCATTCATTGCCTTCGAGTTGAAGTCATATTCTGTTCTTTCTTCTTCACTCCAGTCAATTTTAGGTTTTCTATTTCCTTTATCATCAACTGGAGTTTTCCATTCGTTTTCTATAACATTCCAGACACATTCTCCTTGTGCCAAGATGTATATCTGCATTATGGCTTTCCAGGAGGAAAAATTTGTGCCAATCAGGGCTGGTGGCCTGTTGTTTGATAGTCCTTCTCTTGGGAATTCCATTAGGATCCTGCTAGTAACTTAAGCAGTTTGGCTCTGATACCAATTGAAATATATATATATATATATATAAGCGCAGCACACAGTGATGTTAAAACTGACGTTGTAACACAAACGATTTGTAACGCAGCTCGGGCAAACAACCATAATCTGCAAGGCATTTCTCAATTTGAGAATTTGCCTAAATCCACTAAAAGCTTAATATTTAAAGTACACTGTTTGGAACCTGAGATTACACAATAGACTGGTCTTTCCTATCGGACTATTGAGACCTAAACACATGTACTACTTGCTAGGTGATTTGGGTATCTCTTCTCAATGACTCTCGTACCTCACAATATTAGATCTTGAAAGCTTGAGCTCTTGTGTTGATGAGTAGCTGCTTTTATAATGCCAAGAGTCATATGATGGTCCTAAGAAGGTTTTTGTTAATCCTTACCAAAATAGGAGTAGGAATCTTTGATTTCTATTTGGATATGGTAATCCCTTTTTTGCACAGAATTTGACAAGTTATTTTGAATCAACAGTTACATATTGTCTGACATGGCAGATGGTTGTATCTTTATATCTAGAGATGTACATTTCTATGAGCACATCTACCCTTTCAAGAACAAGGCCTCAGAAACCAGTTATGAATCATATGGGAGTGGACCATTCAATCCTTGCTTACCTTCCATTCCTATATCAACTAAAATAGATGCCACCTTACTTGAAGCTACAGAAAGGCATGATGATCCTATTTTTACTCCAGGCATTCTTGAAGATGAGCAAACTGACACTATTGCTGAAAATGAAGATGGGAATGAGTCATTAACTGAATCAAACAATAATATTGTGTTTGAGGAATAATTATCAACTGAGGAGGAGAGATTACCAATTGAAGAGACACCACAGTTAGAGCCCAGAAGATATGGGAGGACAAGACAAATCCCCACCAAGCTACATGATTATTATTGCCAATCTGTTGATGGAGGACTGCTACACAAAAGGACTTCTCCCCACTCACTGAATAAGGTCATATCTTATGACTGCCTGTCTTCCAGCCATAAAACATGTGCCTCAGTCATTTCATCTATACATGAACCACAGTCTTACAATGAAGCAGTAAAACAAGAGCCATGGAGGAGAGCTATGCAGGCTGAGATAGAAGCCCTGGTTGAAAACAATACCTGGGAATTGACTGATTTACCAAATGGGAAGACACCTATTGGTTGTAGGTGGGTGCACAAGGTGAAACATAGGGCTGATGGATCCATAGAAAGGTATAAAGCCAGGCTACTAGCTAAGGGCTATACTCAGCAATTTGGAGTGGACTACATTGAGACCTTCTCACCTGTAGCTAGAATAACTACCATAAGAACATTTCTGGCTGTGGCTGTTGCTGTTGCAATGGGGTGGGAAGTTCAACAATTAGACATCAACAATGCCTTTCTACATGGAGATCTAGAAGAGGAAGTTTACATGCTTTTGCCCCCTGGGTTCCACAGTGATAAGCCTAAGCAAGTATGCAAATTACTGAGATCCTTGTATGGCTTGAAGCAGGCCAGTAGACAATGGAATGCCAAATTGAGAGGAGCCTTGCAATATTATGGCTTTCAACAATCCATGGCAGATCCATCCCTATTCACCAAAGTGTCACCAAATTCTTATATGGCCCTACTTGTCTATGTTGATGATATTTTAGTGGCAGGAACAGACCCAATTCAGATCAAAGAGCTAAAACAAATGCTGGACAGATCTTTCAAAATAAAAGATATTGGCAGTCTGAGTTACTTTCTAGGCATGGAGGCTTTCAGAACACATGATGGTCTTAATCTTTGTAAAAGGAAATATACTTTGGAGATTCTAGAAGAAAATGGTTTTTTGGAAGCCAAACCTGCAAGCACACCAGCCACTGCAGGACAGAAACTCACTAGTATGGAAGGGGCATTACTTGACAGCCCTAAGATATATAGAAGGTTGGGGGGGCAAGCTCTTATATTTAACAAATACTAGGCCAAACATCTCCTATGCAGTACAACAGTTAAGTCAATTTGTTAATAAGCCTAGAAGTACACATCTGATTGCTGCTCACAGAGTGTTAAGGTATCTCAAAGGATCTCCTGAAAAGGCTTGTTTTATCACAAGGATTCTCAGTTGAAGTTGCAAACTATTCAGATTTTGGTCGGGCCACTTGCTCATAAACTAGGAAGTCCATAACTGGTTTTTGCATCTATCTTGACAGCTCTTTAATCTCATGGAAAACAAAGAAGCAAGCAACTGTCTCAAAGTCATCTTCTGAGGCAGAATATAGGGCTTTAGCCTCAACACTTTGTGAGATCCAATGGCTCAATTACATGCTGGCAAATTTGAGGGTACATCTTGACAGTCCAACTACATTGTTTTGTGATAATCAATCTGCTATTGCTATTGGTGAGAATCATGTTTTCCATGCATGAACGTACTAAACACGTAGAAATAGATTGCCACATTGTCAAACAGAAGGTGAATGAAGGTGTGGTTAAACTTCTGTCTGTTCCATCTTTCAAACAAGTTGCTGATGGATTCGCTAAGGCCTTACCAAAGTCAGCTTTTGATACTTTTCATTGTAAGCTGGGCCTTCAGGATATTCATGCTCCAGTTACCGGGAGGGGGGGGGGGGGGTGATGAAGTGAGCTTAGCTATTAAGCAAAAAGGATGAGGTGTTCCAAGCTAATGAAGCAGAAAGGTTTCTGAAGCTTTAGAAGGGCATTGAAGGGTCCTCTTGTCTTTTCCCTCTTTGGCTGTTATAACTACATTTCCTCGTGTATAGAAGCCTGAGCTTTCCCTCCTTTTTCTCCTCTCGTAACAAAACAAATGATTACACAATAATGCTGAGTATCTCTCTTCTTTTCTTCTTCATTTCTAGTTCATCATGACTTAAGAGTGATTCTAGCAAATTCTATTTTAATTTTAAATTTATAGGTGATAGTATATTTCTAGTCATTTTTTAATTAAAACATCATTATTTGATCTTTCGTCAAAAAAATCATTGAAATAAAATTAAATACAAATAAATTTCGATCACTTTTTAAATACAAAGTGGGTTAACCCGTAATATTTTTATTTTTATTGAAAAAAAATTATTTAAAGACCAAAATGGCATTGTATTTAAGAACATTTAAATTGTTTTGTTGATAAATGACAAAAAAAAAATCATGCTATAATAATAATATTAAGACCAAAGAGGATGTTTTTTAAAAAAAAAAAAAGACTAAAAAGTGAAATACTCCGTATTATTTATAAATCTAGGACAAAATGAAATTAATTTAAAATAAAAATCCAAAGATACCAATCATACCATGAGTTGACTTTTGATTTGGTGGTTGGGTGTAGACTGTTGACCTTAATTTCCAGCATCAATAATTCATCAGATAAGATCAGATCTCTAGTCTCTCTCAACTCTCATCCTCCATTTCTGCTTGCTATATACTCATTTCATCTCTGCTCGCTCAATTCAGAAACAGCTGAGATTAGTTCAAGTTTACATATTTTCTCAGATCATCTCTATCTCATCTCATATTACCCAAACCCAATTCCTTAACTCCATCTCCGATCCATCTTCATCAACCTAATTAAGGTATGCATATATGTTTCATAATTTTCTCCAACATCACTCAATCCTTTTCTGCTTTCATATGTAGTTTAGCATCACGTTTTGCCCTCTCAATTCCTTTATCTTTTGCTGCTACATATTTATTCACTAACTAAATTCATAATCAGGGTTGCAAAAATCCCGCCTAGACGCTGATTAATTGTAGTTGGGTAGCTAGGAGGCCGACTAGACCGTCTAGCCGTCTAGGGGCTGACCGCCTAGGCCTCCTAGACAGTCACTAGGTTGCCTAGTCTATAGATTAGATATTGTTCCTTCTTTATTAAATGGGTTATTTCGCAGGCTATGTTTGACAAACTTAGCTGAAAAAGTAGCTGAAAGTTGAAAAGAAGCTGAAAGCTGAAAAGCAAGCTATGAGCTAAAAACTGAAGAGATGTTAAAGCTAACTGGTATGCTTGAAAGTGTTTGGTGAAATAAGCTTTTTGATAAGCTTGATAAATGTAAAAAAAAAAAAAAAAGAAAAAAAAAAGGACATTTTCATAACATTTAAATTAGTTTGTTTATATATTAAAATTTAACATTTTGTCTTAAAAAAATTAACATTTTGAAATAAAACTATTAGCATAATCATGATCTAGCATCTTATGTCGGGTCGGAGTGTGGGGACCCCTTAGGGTTGGGGTTCAACATTTGGAAGAATGATCTAGCATTTTATAATGAAGTAACAATATTGTTGCGAATCTCCTTTATCTAATAACTAGTTTTATACGCGCATTGCGCGAATGAGTTAATGCCCAATGTTTATAATTGAATAAATATTTGAAAGTATATCAATGCAAGATTAGATTATATATGAGAAAGTTCATACATAAGTAATTTAGTGTCGAATTTGTTTATTTAAGTATATAACTCACAGTATATGAATACAATGTAATATATGAGATGTATTATAATTGTTACTAAGCTTTTTTTTAATAGTAACCAAGTATTTCTGTTGCAAAAGGTTCTAATATATTTAATGAATGCACATATATACAGATCAATGAATGAATCAACGGTACCAATCCTTTACAGGACGTTTGGTTGGAGGGAATTTAAATTCCTTTCCCACTTAATTCTCACCTAATTTCAAAGGCCATAAAATTCCTTAGTTTGATTGGAAGGAATTGCAATTCCCCCATTTTCATGGAATTAAAATCTCATGTCCCCCTAGGATTTTAATTCATGAGATTTTAGAAAGAAAAAAAACTAGTGACGAGACAAAATTACCCCTCCCCTTTTTTAACCTAAAATTAATACCACAACAACAATGAACATTTTGAACTTTATACTACTTATTCCTTTTCAATTTCCATGTATACCAAACATTGAAATTGAAATTCCCAGTAATTATATTCCTGTAAACCAAACACTAGAATTAAAATTCTCACTTTATTCCCAGTAATTCATCTCCCATGGAATTGCAATTCCTTTCCCACGTAATTCCTCCCTCCAAACAAACGCCCTGTTAGGTGTTTTGCTCAGTGTTCATTTAGTTCAACCATTATTGTTGAATAAATTATTATGCATAAAGAAATTTCTAATTAAGGAATTTAGATGAATTACTAAAAATTTAAAAATATTAATTATAATGTAACCCAAAGATATTGGACAATTGGTAAATATGATGTAACCCAAAGATCAAAATGCTAAAGAAAGTGTTTGGTTATTCAACAGTTTAAAACAACAATTTGTTCAAAGCCACTGGAAATACAAACTTTGCAATTTACAATATTTTCACTTAACGTTTTTAGAATGATTTCCCAAAACACCTCTATATTATATAATAAATAAAAAAAATTACTATAGAGCCATTTTGACTCATTGAATAACAAGAGCTAGTTTTGCTGGCTCACTGTTTGCCCATCAACGAATGACAAGTTTAATTTTAAATTGGAGCCTTAAGGCTCCTTTTATAAGAGCCTCAAGGATCCCATGCCACTTTTCCCACCGATGTGGAAAAAGTGGCAAAACTAAGGCGAGCCGAACGTTCGGCTCCCAATATGTTTTTTTTTTATTTTTATTTTTTATTTCTTTTATTAAATTATTATTATTATTATTATTATTATTATTATTATTATTATTATTATTATTATTATTATTATTATTGAATAAAGACATTGTAGACACATAATTCTAAATTAAAGAAATGCATATTTATTATTTTTTTTTGTAGCTACTAAATTATTATTTTAATTTAATAAGAGTAAAATAGAGTACTAATTATGCCAACTTTGATTGAGATGTGGTTCAAACCTAAGACCTTTCTTATTGAAATCAATGAGTAAGTTAATGGTGAACTAACATAAATTAACGGAGAAGATAATATTTAACGGAAAAGTTAACGGATAATCATATAATTAAAGATAAATTAGAAAATCTCAAGGAAAATTAAAATCTGATCAATCTGAGTCATTCATTTGATTAAAAAATTTGACCGTCCTTTTTTTTTTTTTTTGTATCCATTATAGGCCTAACTCTCTTAGTTTAATGGTAATGGTAATGATAATGATAATGATAATTGATGTGAAAGTTGTAGATAAAGGTGAAGAGAATAGAATTTTAATTGGAAAGGGTAAAAGATGTTATTTTCTTTAAAATAACAATGACAAAGATGGAAAAAAAAAAAAGTTAGGAAACTCCAAGTTTATTTTGAAACGTTACCTAAACTCTTATTTGAGCTACGAGATTATTTTGGAAACATTATCAAACAAAACTTATAGCTTATTAGTAGCTTGAAATAAGCTATAAGCTATAAATAAGCTATGTCAAACAAACTCACAAGCGACATAACCTTTGTTCAAACTGTAAATGTTTTTTAGATTAATATTTAATATTTTAGTTTTAACTATTAAAGTATTAAATAGTTTATGATTATCAAGTTTATAAAATTAAAAAATTTTAAACAAATTTTTAAAAATAAAATAAAATAAAAAATATACGGGCGCCTAGGCGCTGATTAATCGCCGCCTAGGCGCTCAAGGAGCGCTTAACTATTTCTTCAACCATGTTCATAATATTTATTTATCTCATTTTCATTGTGTGATAATTATATATATAGAGAGGGGGTTATGTTCACCACTCTCCGGTAAGAACATGAGAACCAATCTGATCATTAATAAAGACAGATTTGTGGTTGGGATTAATTGATGGAATTAAAAACGTGTGTGTGCATATGGACTGTTATGATTTGTGTATATTAAGCATGTGTTGTGTGCAACACTGCAACATGGGATATGCTTGATATGCACACATGCTTAACATGCACATGCATGTTTTTAATCCCCTCAATTAATCTTATCCATAGATCTGTCTTTTTTAATACACCTAATTAGTTCTCATGTTCTTGCGATGAGTGGTTTCATATGATCAGGGCCGGATTTTGGGCTGTGCAAGCTGGGCTACCGCACAGGGCCTCAAATTTTAAAAGGCCCAATATTTAATTTTTACCTAACTAGTTTAGAAATAAAGAATAAAAGTTTTCAATTATACTTAAAAGGCTCCACTGAGATATGGTAGAAATATGTGTTTATTGTGTTACAATTTGGAGGTTAAAGGTTCAAACTTGTAACTAGCATTAGACATCTTTCTTTGTTTTTAATCCTTTTGCATTGCGCGCACACTATTATATTGTTATAATTGTACTTTATTTCATAATATGTCTTTTGTTTTTTCTTTGCGCACAACAACATTTTACTACATTATTATTATTATTATTATTATTATTATTATTATTATTATTATTATTATTATTATTATTATTATTATTATTATTATTATAGAAAAAAATACTGTATTTGGTTTTAAAGATTGTGATTTTGATAGGGCCTCATTTATTTACTAGAACGGGGCCACAAAAATTTAAAAACCGGCCCTGCATATGATCACTAATCTATATATGTTTGTATATATGTATGTATTCACGAAGACTTCGGTTCTGTTTGGGAGATCAGTGATATTATATATATAATATATATATATATATATATATATATATATATTGGTAAGAGCGGTAAAAATAATTTTATTTTCATTTGCAATATAATACATTTAAAAAATTGTCATACAAACAATTCATATATAGGAGATTCTATATGCAATATATATGCCTTCAAAATTTAAATAATAATAGCCCTTCAACGTACATACAATTGAAAAACAAATTAAAAACTTGTAATGGCTCCATTTTTTGTTGAATCACTACATCAAATATGGTATTTAACGGCAATTACAAACTGCTATGATTGTGTTTCCTGGCGGTTATTCAACCGTCACTAATATTTATTTAATATTTGCTTTAAATTTTAATGGTTACGTTGTTATTAAGTGTCGCTAGTAAAAGAATATACTTTAAATATATAGTGTCATAATCATTCCATTTAATTTCTTGGTCAGTAAAGTACGTAATTGAGACTAATAAGTCTGATATGAGTTACGTTCCAGAAACACTTCAGATAGAGAAGTTCAATGGCTTTTGATGCTGTAACCACTCTAATCAAAATAGTAGAGGCTGCAGAGCAAGACCTTATGGAGCCCAAACTACTTTCAAGTTTGAATGCTGAAGGATTAATGATGGTGCCACTGCTTGAAACGATTAAGTTGTTGTCTTACAATCTCCATTTTCTGCAAGCCTTTTTGGTGGAATGTAAGACGAAAATGAATGACGGGGACACCATGGCTCGGAGACTGTATACAGATGTCCAAGTTGAAGTTGCTAGAACATATAAACAGAACGAAATACAATCTAAACTGAGACTATTATATTTTGGAGATTACTGGGTAGGGAGTGCTGAAGTTAAGCCTTGTGAAGATATTCATCATCGCTTGAAAGGAATAGTAAGAGATATTGAGGAACTTAAAGACCGGATCCTGGAGGAAGAAAGAAGAGCTGCTTTAGAGGCTGAGGAACAGAACATCACAATTTGGGATACCTACCAAAATGCTTTAAAGACTGAGAATGAAGTGATTGTAGGATTGGACATTGATATAGAAAGGATAGTTAACCGGCTCTGCTATTCATACTTCATGGGACCAGTTTTAACCATTTTGAAGAATAATAACATTGACAAGTTTCGGAAATATGTGCTGAAACTACAAGCTATGCCACTCGTTGGGGAAGGAGGCATTGGAAAAACTACATTAGCCAAAAGAGTATATGGACATCCAATTACTATTGCTAGCTTTCACATTCGAGCATGGGTAGTTGTGTCTAAAGTTCATAACCTCAAAGAGATGCTCATTGGTCTATTACGTTGTATTTCACCAATCACTAGTGAAATCTACGACTTAGATGAGGCTCAGATAGCAGAGAAATTAAACACAAGTTTGATGGGCCAGAAGTATTTAATTTTCCTGGATGATATATGGACCACTGCTGCATGGAATGCCATCCAAGAATATCTTCCAGAGAATTTTAATGGAAGCCGAATCTTAGTAACTACTCGGTTCAAAGAGGTGTCTGAATACTTAAGTATGAATCCCTACCTAGTGAGGTATCAAACTTTTTCGGATCGTTGGGAATTATTTTCAAGGAAAGTGTTTAGGCAAAGCCTATGTTTTCCCAGTAAATGTGTCCCAATAGGGGAACGCATTGTTCTTGGTTGTGGTGGATTACCCCTAGTAGTTGTTTTAGTTTCCGGACTTTTGGCGACAACAAAAGGGTCACTAGAAATATGGAGAGATGTTGCCCGAACATTGGATGGAGTTGGTAGATATGATAATAACAAAAGAATTTCAAAAATAGTTTCATTAAGCTACAAGTCCTTACCAAGTCATTTGAAGGATTGCTTTCATTATTTTGGTGTGTTTCCAGAAGACAGTGACATTTCTGTTAAGAAATTAATCAACTTATGGGTTGCAGAGAGATTTTTAATGCCACATAACAATATGAGTTTGGAAGAAGTGGGAGAGAGTTACTTGCATGATCTCATTAATAGAAGTCTTGTTCAAATTAATGAGCTAAGTATTGACGGCAAAGTTAAATCATGTAGCATTCATGATCGAGTGCACGAGGTTTGTGTGAGAGAAGCAATTGATGGGAATACATTGTGCATTATCAATGACAACCATGCTCTAAAGGCTAGTCATTGGTTAAGGTGTCAAACAAGTTATTGGCCAATCACTCGAGCGAGTTATGGGAATTGTGGTCCTAATGAAATTCATTATGTTCTCTGCTTTGGTAAAGATGTAATCCATTCAAAATTCAGGTTTGTATACCCATGTTTGAAATTGCTAAGAGTATTGGATTTATCATTAGTTAAATGCTCACAAGGCATGCCTTGTGAAATAACAGACTTGGTTCATTTGAGATACTTGGCTCTAAGTACCATTGGTTCTCTTTACGAGTTTCGATTTTTCAAGCTCAAGAATTTGGTAACTCTCATAGTTACTTCATGGATGGAAAAATGTCATTTGCAATTGCCATGTGATATTTTGGATTTGCCACAATTGAGGCATTTGCATGTTGACAAGAGATGTTCACAGTATCTCCCTTGCTTAGTCAAAAAAGATCTACAAACTCTTTATTGGTTGAAAGTTGCTAGCTCCGACAAAAAACCAAACTTCGGAATGGTTCCAAACCTAAGGGAACTTGGGATTTTCATTGAAGGCCAACTGGCGCCTAGCCATCTAGGGAGCCTTGTGCATTTACATCTACTTGAGAAGTTGAAGTTTGAAGTAGGAAGGGTCGAGCGCTTTTGTCTTCCAACAGGTTTTCCACCAAACCTTAAGAAGTTGACACAGGGCCGTTCCAATCAAAATTGGGGTCCTGTGCAATATTTTAATTTGGGTCCCTTTTTAAGTAATTTTTATATATAAATAATAGTTATTCAAAAAGTTGTGTCAAAAATTCATAATATAAATATTGTATAAAAAAATACATCTAAAATTTCATTTAAAAAGTAACATGCGCCGTGCACACTTAGACGAAAATCATCCACCAAATTTTTTTATATCAACTTCTTCTAAAATCTCATTTTCAATAGAGATTAAAGCTAATCCATTGAGTCTCTCTTGAAATGTGTACATCCTAATCTCATTTTTTGGGTCTAATTGAAATGATGGCTGAGTTTGATCCTATCATTCAAGATAATGTTTTACGTGCTAGAAATCGTGATATTCACCATTATTATCTTGGTCATAAGATTCAAAACAAATTGATGCTTATGATTGCTACTACAGTTAAAACAAAAGTCATCAAAAAAATCAAAGATGCAAAATATTTTTCAGTGATATTAGATTGTACTCCTGATGTCAGTCACCAAGAACAAATGTCTTTGATTTTAATATGTGTGGATATATCAACATATCCAATTAAAATAGAAGAGTTCTAACAATTTTTCGTTGTCATTATCTTTTTGCTCATCTATTTGAGTTTTTTGTTGTATTGAATTTTTCAAGAGCTCCCTTTTGAGATTGAGTTAGTTGCTCAATCTTTCTTTTCTTTTTACGCTTCTCAAACCCATATGAATATTTTCTAGAATACATAAAATCCTAAGAAACAAAATAAAAATTTATTTAAAAACTCTATGAATAAATTATTAATCAAGAAACAAAATCTTGAATATATATTATTCTAAAAGCAGAATTATGAAGTCATGTTAATAACACAATAAATAAAAATTGTGAAACAATACGTAATTTTAATTACGTGTCAATAGGATTGAAGAACTTTAGAGTTTGTATGATATAAAAAAAAAAAAAAGAATTGAAGAATCAGTAGCACACGAGTTAAATCTGTCGTTTTTGCGTCAATTCACTAAATTGCACTGCTTGAACAAAAAATAAAACTAAATTGTTTGATGCTTGCAAATTGTCATCTTTGATAACTTTTTATTGACTGAATTAAAAATTCCCAAATTGACAAATTTGATTTGTAATTTTGCATAATCAGTAACTCGTAAACAACACTACTTGTATACTCAAATACTCAAATTAAAAATTCAAATTAAATCTTTCAAAAAAAAAAAACTCAAATTAAATATTTGAATTAGTTAAAATAGACAAATACCTAATTTGTTGTAGACTCTGTAGTTCTCATGAGTCATCAATTCCACACGACTTCCCCAATTTGACTCCCCTAATTTCCATCTTTGTTGTAATTCGTAATTCATGAGCTAATTAGGGACTAGGCCACTAGGGTAATATGTTTGCCGTTTGCCGTTTGCCGTTTGCGTTTGTCGGCTACACCGCTTGGCTTTGTTTGAAACTTCACGCTGAATTTGTGAATCGGTATATATATACGTAATTTTTTTTTTAAATTAGATTTTGGGGGCCCTGTGCGCCGGCCCTGGGCAGACATGCCCAGGGATGGCCCTGAGTTGACACTTCGTTATACTTATCTTCCATGGAAGGAGATGGACACAATTGGCATGTTGTCGCACCTTGAGATGCTTAAACTAAAAGATTTCGCTTTTTGTGGCCCAACGTGGGAACCATCGGAGCAAGGCTTTCGGAAATTAAAGGCACTTCTTATTTCACATTCAAGTCTCGATCATTGGAATGCAAGTTCTAATCATTTTCCAGTTTTGGAGCGCCTTGTTTTAAGATATTGTTGGGAATTAAAACAAGTTCCAACTAATTTTGCAAAAATTGGAACACTAAATTTAATTGTATTAGAATGTTGTTATTCTTCTCTTGTGACTTCTGCAATGCTGATTTCTTCTGCAAAAAGCGAAACATTAAAGGGAAAGGCTCCACTTCGTGTTCGTAAAGTTGGAACTAAGGTTTCTCTCTAATTCATGTTCATTATTTCAAAATATTAGTTTTCTTTATTCCAATTCCATGTATTCATTAATTATTTGCTTCTTTTTTTTACTCATTTTCAATTACTTTTCAAGGTTGAATTGCCTGTTATTGAAAGCTCTGAAGAAGAAAGTGTTGAAAGCTCTGAAGAAGAAATGATGAATGTTGATAAGAGTGTGATGACATATCTGAAGGACTTATTCTGGTGAGTGCATTGAAGAAGAACGCGCAGTGACTGAGGAAAAGTTATTCTGATGTGTTGCAATTGAATTTGCATGAACTTCACTTTATGAAAAGCTTGTAAGTTCTCAGGTATGTTGCCTTTCATGAGTTTATGCACTGGCTAATGTTGATGATGTTGACATATTTAGCGACTTAGCTTGTCCAGTCCAATCCAGATTGGTGGGATGGTGATCTCAACAATTTCAGTTGTGTGTTAATGTGTTATGATGTTTTTTCTGCTCCGATCTCACCATGGCTAAGTTGTAACAGTCCACTGTTCAATTCAGTATTCTTTTACAACATATTCAAATGCTTTTTGGTATATTACTAATTCAGTTTGGTTTAAGTAAATCGAACCGAATTGCTCACCCCACTAATGCCACCTCTTCCCGTTAGTCCCTTGAGACCCCTCATAAATGGACACAAGCTACCACACAAATTCGATGGTAGATTGTGTGCATTCATGCTGGACAAATTACACACAATGCTATGAAAATGTTTTCATTTGTTATATAAAACATTTTCATACAAACAATATATAACAGATTCTGATCTATATATATATATATATATATATATATATATATATATGCCATTATTAAAAAGTTAAATATAATCGCCCCTCTGTTATTCACACTATGAGATCAGTTTTCACCATTTTGAGGAATAGTAACGTTCACTAGTTCCGGAAATATGTTGAAAACCTTGTGCTGAAACAACGTTGTTAACACTAACCATAAAACTAATTACTAATTTTGCAGCTACTTTGGGTAACACTAACCATAAAACTAATTACTAATTAGCCTTGCTAGTGTTCTCTATTCCCATAAATTGTTTAGCCTTTAACCATTTTACATTCCAGTTTACATATACACAGATCAGATGAACTGGGATTTGGCTTCTATTCTTACTTGCAGTGAAAATATGCTAATTAAAAATATGCAGTGAAGATATAAAACTGGTATTTAAAAGTGTAAGCTGACAGAAGAAAACTAACCATATTATTCTTTAAGCCTTTTTTTGTGTTCAAAAATCAAGTAAAAACTTTGATGTATTGGGTGAACAACCTAAGTAAAGAAAAGATGAAAGATAATCAAAACAAAAGAATCACCAAAAGGTTAATGCAAATAGTTGTACCCTTGGCACTTGACAACAATATAATAAATATGCCTGAACTACTTGAAGTCCCTTAGATACTCTTCCAACTTAAGAGACATCTTCCTTTCTAAAGATGTCCCTGAGAGCACCACCATCATATTCTTCAAACTTAGCACAATCATTTCCCTTAGGATCCCCTATATTCTAAGTTCCATTAGTATTCTTCACAAGTTGACAACCACCATCAGATATTTTCAAACTCAGCACAATCATCAGCTAATATAAAGCAATATCACACAAGAAAATTGCTTAAGAAAATAATCTACAGAGTACAACAAAGAGAGCACATATCAAGCTATATAAAGCAAAGATATTGTAAATACATGAGTAAAGCAAAGAGAACACATATCAAGCTTTGTAGTACTAGAAAATTTTATATAAATCAAGAAATTGTAAATGCAATAATTTAGGGTAAAATGAAATTAGGATTTAGAGATAAATGGAATTAGGATTTTTTTGAAATCAGGAATTTAGTGTTAGGGTTTAACATTTAGAGTAATAGAACTAACCAGCTTGGAAAGACGAAAGAAGCAGCGGAAATCGTTGCAACAGTTCGCAATTGCACAATCGGCCAGTCGGGGACGACCGACACAACAACCACCCACGCGGCGGAGAGGAAGCAGTCAGCGAGGAAGCGACGACCACAAGAGGAAGCACGTAGCGACGACCGAAGCAATGACAGACCTTGGCGGCGACGTTTCTGTCGGAGACAATGAGCGATAGTCGTCAGTGGTTGTGGCAGAGGAAGTGGCGACTGCCAGACGGCGGTCAGTGAACATGGAGAGAGTATCGACCAAAATTTATGTATTTCCCGCTCCCTAGGTTGTTCAATGGTGCTGAGAAGATGAGTTTGCGCTGTGAGCAGAGAAGAGTTTGCGCTGTGAGCAGAGAAGAGTTTGCCACGGGAAACGACTATAGGGAATGATTTTTTTTTTTTTTTTTTTTTTTTTTTTTTTTTTTTTTGGTTTTAGAGGGAAATGTATTTTTTTAATTAAGCGAGCAGGAGGGCCCAAAGATTTAGGGGTCGTTTACTTCATTTTTCTGTTTTTCCATTTATATTTTTCTATTTTTCTATTTCTCCAGTTTTTTATCTCTATGTTTCCATTTCTCCAGTTTTCTAATTTTCATTCCCTATTTCCAGTTTTTCATTTCTATAATAATAATAATAATAATAATAATGAGGATTCTTACCGCCCAAACACTTAAGGGCTCGTTTGGTTCGCTGGAAAATATTTGAAGGGAAATGGAATTGAAATTCCATGAAAAATAAATTCCAAGAAAATAGATTTCATTGTTTGGTTGGTGGAAAAGAAATTACTGGGAATATGAATTCTATTGTTTGGTTAAGTTTGGAATGGTAATGAATAATGAGTATAATGACAAATATAACCCTACACAACAATAATAATATAATAATAATAAGAGCAATTAATAAAGAATGTTGAGGATAAAATTGTCATGTTAGTTTTCCATGGAAAATCTTTTCCGTGGAAAACAAAATACCTAGCATGAGCTAGGAAATTGTTTTCCTCATCCTTAAGGAAAACTTTTTCCTATGGAAAATGTTTTCCACCCAACCAAACAACATAAAACATCATTTTCCTTCACTTTTAGGAAAACATTTTCTATGGAAAATGTTTTCCATCCAATCAAACACCCCCTTAATATTTCAATTTCTGTCCAATAACAATGTTGGACGGTATATAATAACACCTATCATTTTGCATTTCACCAACCGGTCAATTCAATTTTTCAACCACGGTAGGACAACATTTCCGTCCAACATTTAGTGTCGGTCAGAACTTTCGTCCAACGCGTGAATGTTGGACGGAAATTCCATCCAACTTTTCGTCCATCCCTATTTGCAACTCAAAGTTGTGATTTTTTACAAATTTTACCGTCCAACATTTTTGTTGGACGGAAATAGCGAGATTTCCAGCCGTGAACAAGTTATCCCACTAGTCGGGGAATGAGGCATAGGAAAAACAACATTAGCCAAGAGAGTCTATGGAAATCCAACAAATATTGCTTGCTTTCACATGAGAGCGTCGGTAGTCGTTGTTTCTCAAGTTCATAACCTCAAAGAGATGCTCATTGGTCTATTATGTTGTATTTCAGCAATAACAAGTGAAATCTACAACATAGACAATGCTCAAATAGCTAAGCAATTATGCAGAAGTTTGATGGGTCAGAAGTATTTAATTTTCTTAGATGACATATGGAGCACTGCTGCATGGGATTCCATCTAATGATATTTTCCAATAATTCTAATGGAAGCCGAATCTTGGTAACTACTCGGTTCATAAAGGTGCTGAATACTTTGTGGATCCCTACTACATAAAGTATCAAATTGTAGAGGATCGTTGGAAATTATTTTCAACGAAGGTGTTTGGGCAAAGCCATTTTGTTCCCAGGGAATAGGAGTTAATTGGCAAATGCATTGTTCTTAGTTGCTGTGGATTACCAATGTCAGTTATTGTGATTGCTGGACTTTTGGCAATAACAAAAGATTCTCTAGAAATATGGAGAGATATTGCGGAAACTTTGGATGGAGTTGATACATATATGATAATAACAACAGAATTTCAAAAGTACTTACATTAAGCTATAACTACTTACCATGTCACTTAAAACCTTGCTTTCATTATTTTGGGTGTTTCCCAAAGATAATGTCATTCCTCTTAAGAGATTAATTAACTTATGGGTTTGCAGAGGGATTTTTAATGTCACATAAAAATATGACTTTGGAAGAAGTGGCAAAGAGTTACTTGCATGATCTCATTAATAGACGTCTAGTTCAAATTAATGAGCTAAGCATTGACGACAAAATTAAATTATGTAAAGTTCATGATTGAGTGCATGAGGTATGTGTTAAATTATATACCTAAAGTATGTGTTAATCAGTAGCGTAGTTGGTTCATCGCCTGACTTACAGGTTATGGTTGGAGGCGACAGTACGGAAAAAATGCCCAAGAATATGCACGCATAACTGGTTACGCGACTCGCGATTTACTTTCACAGTAACTCTAGGGACAAAATTCTATAGGTTTAGAATTAGTCCGGTAAAGTTAAGATCACCTAAGTTAATAACTACTCTTAATAATAATTTAAAGAAAAGTTCATTAATGATTTCCATACTCCATTAGTCTTAATAATAATAATAATAATAATAATAATTAGGAGAATATAATAATGACAAAATGAAAAGTTAGTCAATTATTATGTTATGTGATGACACTTTTTACGCGCTTTGCGCGAATGGAATAATGTCCAATGATTATTTTTAAATAAGTATTTTAAAGTATATATATATCAATGCAATATTATATAGAAAATTAAATGTTCATGCATAGTTAAATAAATGTTGAATTTGTTTATGTAAATTGGTAATTTAAAGTATATAAATGCAAGATATTATATGAGAGATTGATTATAATTGTCACTCAAATAAATGTTTGCAACTTTATAATAACGCTAGTCTAAATACTTAGTCTAAAAGCGATAGTCTAAATAAATATTACTTTTGGTTTAAAGTTCTCTAATTCTTCTTAATTCTTTTTTGGATAGCATTGTCATTGTCTTCATCTTCAGTATATGTCCTCTTTTTTTTCTTTTTTCTTTTTTTTATTGGTTAGTAGTTTGTCATGTGGAATTGGGTTACTGGTGGTAGTATAGAGGGATTCATCATGCAATGAAATTATGGTGTAGCAAGCTATAGATTTACCTTGTTGTGTATATGACTGAGATCTTAGTTGTAATATGAACTCTTTATCTTAC